ACGCCCATCCGAGGTCGTAACTACTATACCCGCGAAGATAACACCCATTATAAACCCAGTCTTATCAAAGTTGTAGACATCGTCATCGACAATCCTATATTTAGCCCTAGTATTCCATATAAGTGCAAACCACTCGCTGATGACCTATGGATCCTTGCATTTAGCCCTCTGGTAGTCGTACTTGCGTATATACCGCGTACGGAGCTCTGGCTGGCGTTTGACAAAGTTGTAAGCCCAGCGTTTGCCGACAGGGGGCGCGTTGCGTTCGCGTAGTAGGTGGTTGGCCATATCTTCTATACCACTTAATCTAGGTGGGAATGCGCGTGTAGATAGCTCAGTTATATACTGAACTATTGACTTCTCTTCTAGATCCGTAAGCTTACGCGAGTTGGCTAGAACATCGCGTCTTGCAGCACGTCCCTTGCGCCGGTGGCGAATCGTTGCTTCTGGAACGTTGTATAGCTTGGCTACCGCCCGGATACTGAGATTCTCGCTCTGTTTGATAGCTTCGAGGGCTAAAAGAAGCCTGGCTTCTTTTGAGGGGCTATGCATGGCTTGTTGCGGTGGTATTTGGTGGAAAAGTTTAGAGGAGGCGCGTCGCACTGAAAGTGCGTCGCTCGCTTATCTGCGTCGCTCGCTTATCATGTACGTTACCCGAAACTCACTTAGAGCCGATTAGGTTCTTTTCGAGATATCTTCATTTCATCTTTCTAAATACCTTATAGAGAAATTAGTCTTATAGCAGATCCCTATTATGGCACGCCGCGCTTCGGACGTCATCGACATTATAAAAGGCGATTCCTAATCTCCGGGAGCGGGATATCGCTACCTCTAATATAAGAGGGTGAAAACGGCGAAGGCGATAGAGTTAATGCGGCAGTAAGAAGATATATATTAGAAAGATAATAACGGCAATAATAGAGTACTAAAAAACGGCGAAAACTCTATAAATTCAGGCTATAGCCATTGACAAGGCAAGTGAGGCGAGCCAATGCCTAGAGCAACCCTATAGATCATAACTTTAAATTTAATAATAAACTAGATATTATAAAAATGGAATTTTAGCTAGAATTTAGAAACTTAGTGACTAGATAACGAAAGAAGTCGCTAAAATAACGGCCTAGTTAGCCCAAGAACTATTGCAAGCGCGAGAGGAACTTATATAAGCTTATGGCGAGCTAGAGCATACTAGACTCCAGCTATAAGCTATAGCAGAAGATCAAGGAACCCTATTAGCTCGGCAAGCGTATACGGATGTTATTCGACACACCCTTCCTATCAGAATCCCTACCCCACCGTTCTTTATAGCTTAGGTAGTGACGCCAGAACTGGCATTCTATACGGTGGACATCTCTAGGGTACCAGAAGAATATAGCGGAGAAGCTATACTAGTAGCGCTTTGTAACCTTGTTAAAACGAAATACAAGCGCCTAATGACTAGCCTAACTGGTGCTATATTACAGTCACCAAAGATAAAGGAAATACTAACCGCGTTAGAATCATTAGCAGGGATAAAGAGGAAGTAAAGAAGATCAAGAGTATCATCAAAGCTAAGAAGGCGCCGGATATAAGAGTCCTTCAAGACAGTTATACCTAGTTAAAATCAATAACGTTAGGTGTATAGCTGTCCTCGACTACAAAGGCAAGGTCCTTCCTAGGGCTACCGAAGTTCTGGGCCAGGAAAACAATATATAAATTACTAAGGTAGCCTAGCTAAGCTGAAAAGATAATACAAAGATGTATAGGTCTATGGTTGTATATATTACTAAAGCCAATAATGCTAGGAAGCTCTTAGACAAGGGCTTCTTCTATACTAGAGGCGAATCAGGGTATATAGGAGTATTCGAACGTCAGATACAGTCAGATCAATGCTACAATTGCCAGTAAATCGGCCATAAAGCCTTCTAATATAAGAGTCCTCAAGTTTTTATAAGATATACCTAGGAAGGCCACTGCTAGGGAAATCGCTATAAAGTGGTTGCCAAGTGCGCTAACTACTCCTCGTATATACTATACTAACCGCCGCGGACTATGCTAGGACCCCTTTACAGGGCTTATTACTGGAAGTATACAAGTGACAGGTGACCTTTATATCCAGTAAGGTCGAGATAGCTCCTTGATCGACTAGGATAGCTTATCTAAAGCGATAAAAGCTAATAGCTCTTCTCTAGGCTTAAAGTAAAGGCTATAGCCGACCTCCTATTAGAAAGAAACACTTAATAGCGTATCTCGAGGGCAGACTAAGTCAGGACACCACAATAGCTAGTATCCCTGGTAAAGTAGGTAACTTGGGACCTAGGCTAGATAGGAGCCGCCTCCCTTAGTTTCTTTAACTCCCGACTTTTATAGCCCTTGCCGCTCTCAGCACTCCGAGTTTTGCCGTCTCTCCCGTTATACCGGCCACCGCCAACCAGCTGTTGTTCGAGGCTATAAGCTATTGAGACTTTATCCTTATTTCTATAAATGCTATTACTACTCAAGGAGCAAGATTAATATACTCGTTAAGATTAGGCTTAGAGATAGCAAAGGATACTAAGGTTAATAGCACCTCCTTGGCAAACTATTTATCGTTACCTCTAGACTGTTAGAGAAGGGATATCTGGACAATAACCGCAAAACCTCTAAACTACGGTACTTATAATAGCTATTTATCCTTGCTTAGTGTCTCTTACAATGGCCTTAGCTTCTACCGCCCTGGAAAAGTAGCAATACCAGAGCAGAATACTTGGATATAGGTAATCTAGGGAGAAGTATATTCACCCCTGATAAAGACTAGGTCAACATGGTAACCCCTTGTAGAAACCTTTACCGGTAGCGCTTTCTTATAACTGCTTCTTTATTACCTCTTGATTAATATATATAAGAGTTTTAACTAGGAGATCTTCTAATCTTGGGCCTATCTGATAGCGTTGGGAGAAATAGAAATCCGTCAGAGTAGACTCAGAGTAGGTAGTTCGGAGTTGGCAATTTTAATCTTCCTGACCTGAAGTTCTTATCGATATTAAGGTTATAGCTGCTATCAGAAGGGCTAGGCCTGTCAGAATACCTAGGTAAAATATATATGAACTTCGATACTTCGGCTAGAAATAGGCCTTTACTAGCCTCGCCTTTAAGTACATCATCGATCAGGCCGGTATAAAAGACCAGTGCTGTTCTAAGGCTATACAATAGGTAATAAACCTAAGGCTAGCCCTATCATGGACGGTAATACTGAGACAAATAATAAGACTATACGGCGTTCCAATAAGGCAATCTAACCCGCAACGATCCGCCAGAAGACTCTCGTTTCCTTGGGCGCAATATCATCACCACGGCGGATAGTAGCACCTAATCTATCCTAAGCCCGCTGTTAAAGTCCTTATATACTCGTTTAATCGTTCAGATCGGTCCTAGTCAGACCAGCTAGTCGTCTTGCTACTTCTAGATCTTCGAGCAGTCATAAAGATCCAATAGATCTGCCGGTGCTTACTTCGCCCGATAGACTCGTTTCGCCCTCGACTTGCAGGCAAGCGCCATTGTAGATAGCAAGGAGAGCAGGTACGGCTTTACTAATAGCCATAGGGATTACAAGGAAACCATAGATGCCTCAGAAGGGTTTATGGCATTCTTACATCCGCCACCAGCGTTTACCAAGACTCCCCGTTTCTCATGCTAACACTACGGGCCTTCCACCGCCTATAGTTCAGACATCCCGCTCTCGTCTCGAGGTACATACCGACGCTTGTTGTAAACCTTTTTTCTGATGTCCTCGGCCGAAACTCGTCTAATCCAAGCAGTACTAGTGCTAGAGGATTCCACGTAGAAAGAGAGCAACGGGACATGTCCTAGTAATTGCCTTAAGATACTTAAGCAGTTACACAATGAATAAGATAGTTGAATAGGACAATAATATATATATTATTCCTCGCTTCACGTATACAAGGACAAACACAATTTATTAATACCTGGCGGCGGAGCCGAAAGGGTTAGTTATAAGTACACTCTTTGCTGTGATGGAACCCAACGTACCATGGCACAGGCCATTGCTTAGTCATGTGCCCGGCTTCCGGTGTATGCATGTATGATTGGTCAACCTGGTTGGTGCCCCACCTTCCACATCTGGGCACATGCCCCACTTCCTGTATTTAGCATTCTTGCAATACAGTCAGTTGCCTATCAGAGCCTTGAGCCTGGACTGCGACGACAGCTACCGTGACACTAAGCAAGCGCCGAAGAGCCAAAAGAACGCGTGTACAGCTTGGAGGATCACTTGCAGTGAAAGATGCAAAGGATCTACTAGACCAAAAGGCTATGGTTGGGGAGGTGGCACAAGAAATGCAGCCGGGTGGTGGTGGGGCTCGTACGAAGGTTCGGTGCTGTGGTATATACGGCAAGCCTGGTCATAATGCCCGCACTTTCCAGGAGGTTGCAGAAGCATCTGATTCAGCCGTTTCTGATGTAATTGTAGTTGGTTGCTAGTGTTGTTGTGGTGTAATTGAAGATACTGTGCATAGAGTAGTAGAAAAGCCACGACTCGCTGATACCCACGACTCGCTGATAATGTACGTTATAGGGCACCGAGCTGCCTGATACACACGGTCGTGCCGTCCCCGTGCTATCTCGCTCTGACTTGAGCGAAGGCAAGGGATCGCCTGTCGCGCGCAGGTTCCCTGCCATTCATCAAGGCCTTAGCATCCTGCAGCTTGTCTCGCGGGCCGCCCACAGAGCCGGAGGGGCTAGGCCATCTCGGGTCCGCCTCGTTCCCTGCCCTGCTTGACCCGCGCTCTCGCTGTGCCGTGTCGGATCTGCCTCGTCCTGCCGTCGTGGACTCTTCTCCAGTGCCGGCTTATGACGGGCGGCGATGCAGTCGGGGTCCGGCGCTCTTGGGTGCATCAACCTGTCGAATAACCTTCCTTTGGGATAAGGCGGTCGTGGTACTTCACCTCCAATGCAGGCTACACGTAATGCAGGCCGGAGATTGTGCGGCCATCGGCGTAAATACCTAGGTATGGATACTTGTGCCTTGAAATACTGCTACATCCTTCAAATAATAGTGACTACATGAACGAGATCGGCTATTCTGGGGTCTGTGAAGTCGAGCCTTGTCCCTAGTAACTCACTGTTTCTTCCCTGAGCCTTGCCAGCATCCTCCTCGAGCTCATCGTACTTATATCCTAGCCTCTCAAGTAGTATTCCAACGAGACTCATATGTCCGATAGGGTCAACGAGTTGGAATTTCCCAGCGCGTGTGTAAACCCGCGTATCCGTGGGGTTTTGTGCATGTACCTCCCTCAGCACTAGGCCCTCTACCGCCTCCATCCCCCGTAATGACACACACAAGAATAGGTGAGTTGCATTCCGTTCTTCTTGGAGCTTTTGCCAGCGCTCGGGGTTATCTCCCGATGAAACATTTTCGTCCCAGAGAACTGAAACTTCGGTTTTGCTGATCTCCGAGTCCATAGTGTGGGTTGAGAAGGCTACCCGAGTCTCTGTGTAAAAGTCTGAGGTAGTAGGAGTATCAACAGCTCGAGTCCAAAGTGCAATCCCTCGTACAGTCAACTCCAATTTGATAAAGCTGTGCAACCCCGATGGATCTTCCGAATGGGCCGAGATGTCCATGACCTCCAGGAAATCGATATCATGATCTAACGAGCAGTCCCTATGGTAGCGTGAGTCGAAGTTCACTTCCCCGTCCAAGCTCACCCAAGACCACGTCGGGGCCAGGTACGCTGCTGTCCTAGAGCGATTGATGGAATATGGCATCCAGCATAACTGACGCTGAAGATCTTCTTGCCACATCCCGGCGAGGTATACGTCGTTGGTGGCATTTCTCACTTCCGCGGCCAAACCGGATAGCGCAATGAGCTTGTCGGATTGATAAGTTAACTTGCAACTTGAATAATGCTTCACCAGTCGTCCCCATTCTCTGCGAAGGTCTAACCCGGTCTTAGAGTCGATGGTTGGTTTCGTGTTGGGAAACCTGTCATTGCTGTGCGTGATCGCCTTTGGAATGCCGGTAGGAAAATGCTCCGAAGCGAGAAGCTCTGGGCATTCCCAGTATACCTGGGAGCGCGCAAAGTTAAGTTGTTTCTTGGCGAGATATCGCTCCTGCACAACCCAGCACCGTGAATTGAGAGGAGCCTCCATGACATCTTCTTGGTACCGAAGTTCATATTCAACCCGGTATCTGATCGACGTGGTCGGGCGCGCGCCGATGGAATCCAGGACGATCGTCGTAGGCTTCTCGATTACCCTTTCCGCGAAACAACCACCTCTGCCATCCGAGGCCCATGTGGCCGCAATGTTGCATTCTGAGCTTTTGTAGATGTTCCACATCATCGAAGATTGGGTTCGCCAGTCATCGGCATCACCTTGGATGATGCATAAGGAGTCTATCCAGATGTATCGGAAGCCCAGCGACAATGTTACGTCCAAGGCATCCTGAAAGGTCTTTGGGAGACGCGAACAGGAGGATGTCCGCAAGAATTCCGAATAGTTGTTCTTGGTGAGACGTAAAGGCAGAGAGGTTCCCCAGCAGTGGCTCAGAGTAAGGTAAGGGACGTCGCCAATGTCTTCCCGCAAAACAAGGCGCCAGCGCAGATCCTTCTCATGCCGGCCGCCAAGGATCTCGATGAGTCTGTCGGGAGTGAATCGTGGCACCTTTTCAGCCAATTTCCGACACTCGGCGTGAAACTTTGAGCAAGCTTGAAACCAGTTGGCCCACACCTCAGCCGATTCAGCTGTTGAGATCGGGGTATCTTCGATTGTTGTGTTCAGCTCGAGGGATGCCACATCTTTTGGAGTTGGAATCAAATGGAATGGGAACCGGGTATACTCGAATCGCGGGATTTGGTATCTTCCAAAGGAGGGTCCAAGCGTAATAGAAACCGCTGCATCTTCTGGATCCATACAAGGGCTGGGAATAGGATCGTCATGGACGTCGACGGTAAATTGGAGTGGTAAGTTTCTGCTGAGCCATCTCTCTCCAGACGCTGCATTCGATCCCCGTGGGCCTGCAAGGCTTGTCCAGACCGCCCGACAGATATAGCATCCCACAGCGACTCCTCTGTCGACCTCGTCTTTGGTATCATAGAGCGTGTAGGCGAACTTGAATCCATCCTTGTCATGGTAATACGATCTGCCATTCATGGCAGCGCTGATCCGGTTCTGGCAAGTTTCGCAAAGCATGGTGGGCAGAGCGAGAATTCATCGCTCAAAGGATGTTTTGTGAGGATATTTCAAGGTGCTTTGGGCCTTCATCAATGTGACCTGGGAGGGACCGATATTAGGTCAGGTCGGGTAAATAAGCTAAGGTACAGTACCTTACAGTACATGTACTTTACGTTGGCGAGCTTGGGTAATAACTTGAGCACGCCTCTTCGCACTATATTTTCCTCACCGCCTAAAGGCGGTGAGCGATAGCGCCCAATCACGTGGCCCCCCTTTCCACCACAGCGACCGCCGTCGCCAGCTGTAGTAGCCGGCCTGCGTATTGGCACAACTCCGAACTGGAATGGCGAGGCTGAACGGCTTTCTGAGGAGGATTGGTGCCGTCGAGTCAGAGATGTGTGACTGTGGCCAGGCGAGGGAAACAGTGGAACACTTTCTGTTTCGATGCGTGAGATGGATCGATCTGAGAAAAGGCATGCTGCAATGCTCAGCGACAAGACGAGGGAGCCTCTCTTTCTACCTGGGAGGGAAAGCGCCATCCGATCCGAAGAAGTGGTCGCCAAACAATGAAAGCGGTCCGGGAAACAATCAAGTATGCAATGGCGACGAGGAGATTGGATTTAGACAACGAACAAAGGCAACGATGGGACCAATCACAATAGCGGAGCTACATTAACACCACACAGCCTCAACCAGCAGATCCCGCTTTAGCTGCTGAAGATGGGACGCTGAACACTTGGAGAACGTAACCTCCAAGATGATCTGCTGAAAGTCAAGGCAAGAGGCAAGAGGTATGGGGAAGCTTTGCGCAAAGAGCACCTCAAGGGACTTGTGCGAGATCATGGGAGAAGCGGACGAATCGTATGTAGTTAGCGTGCCAAGGCCCTTTAGGCTCAGTGCCTCTGGGCGAAATAAATTCCATCCATCCAGCCTATAGCGACAGCGTTCGTCAAGCACTTGGCACGGCTTTCCATGTAACTCACATGGGTATAAAGCAGGAACGTGTCGCTGGGATTCCAAACGTGCTTCCGAGTTCAACGTGCATCCCCTCGAGTTGGCACAGTTCAAATGTTCATTCCAATCATCTCCATCCATTGGCTCGGCGCCGCTTCCTGGGCAGCAGCGCTTTTCGCAGCTGCATCCGCCGCCGTGTTCCACTCGCGCGGGATCCTCCAGAACTGGACGGCCAAGCCGTCGTCCGAGACCCGCTCGATCTCCCCCAACAACGCCTGCCACAAGTCCTTGTTCTTGACGTCGGCCCCGGCACTGGTCTTCCAATCGTTCTCCATCCACGTCTTGACCCACTTGGTAGCGCCTTCGACCACATATTCGGAATCGGTAGCGACGACAAAGGTCCCGAACCCTTCGCCAGGCCAGTGTCGGAAGCGCAGCGCAGCGATCACGGCACGGAGCTCGGCTCGATTGCTGGTCTGAGCGGCGGCGGCGCCAAAAGGACCCTTGGCCTCGAGGCGGGCGCTGGCAATGAGCTGAGTGCCGTCGTCGCTAACCCCATGCCAGAAAGCCCAGCCGGCCTTGGGATTGGCCTGGCCGTTGTCGAGACAAGCACCGTCTGTGCGGATTAGAACAGTGCTGGCGTCGTCTCGATGGGTGTATCTGACAAGAATGGAACGCGCAGGTAAGCTACTGCCCTGGAGAGAGCGATGGAGTGAAGACGGACCTTGTGACACGTATATGTTTCCTGCGACCAGAGAACAACTCGGCGGGCGTGTCTGTGGTTGAGGACGGGATGAACTTTGAGGGCCAAGATCGGCCAGTCCCCTTCCGCAGTGGAGGGCCCAGAAGGTCGTGAATAAAGTCAGGCTCGGCCCCATTCCCGCCCCTATCCTCGTCGTTCTCCTCCTCTTCTTCGTCATCGCCGTTGCCCTGGTTACTCGGAACATCGTCCATGAAGCTGTAGTCGACGCAGCACCTGCCGCAAACCACCAAGCCGTGCGGACCGCAAACCACGCGGCCGTCTGGAAGTTCACACGGGCCCTCGTCATCGTCGCTGCTGCTGTAGCCAAGAGGGATGAGACCCTGCCCGAGATAGTATCCTCGAGGCATGATTTGGTGATCTTGTCCTTGTTGTTGATTCCGTATTGATGAGAACTGATTGCGAGTCGAAGCACCCCGCTGGGCCCAGAAACAGCCAGGGTGGGTCGTGGTTGTTGGAAGCAGCATGAGGTACTGGGCAGTGCCCCACCAGCTGATAAGATTGTACACGTAGAAACACGGCTCAGTGTGTACAAAGGCTTGCCTCCAATCATCCAGTGGACTGGTACAAGCGCGTGTATAGCCCGGGTTGGTGATGGTGGATCCCAAGAAACTTCCTGGGGTTTCCCCAAGTTCCAAAACAGTTGGGCGCAGCAGGTATAACGTTAGTGCGGCCGACTGCCAAGTCGGGAGTGGCGTAGTTTGGCATGTGGATCTTGGCCGCAAGCGGTGGCGCCCCTGTCCCATGGGAGATAAAAGGACCCGCCCCTCCCTTTCTGTCTGTCCTTTCGATGCTCACTCAGTATCGGCCAAATTCTCTTCCAAATGGCTCAGCCATTTAAGGTCGGCCAGCGCTCGCGGGTCAGCAGACGGCACCGCCGAGGTACTTCTCCTGTATCCAACGGATTATCCAGATGTCCTTTCGAAGTCATCGCGATCATACTCTAGCACCTTCCCGACTTTCCTACGCTCTTCATTGTTGTGAAGCTGTGCAAGCAACTATACGACTCCTATAAGATATATAGCCACCAGATCGTCCCTGCGATAATTGGACGCGAGTATGCTTTGACAAGCGGCCGTGACGTCGGGCAGATTTTCTGGGACTTGGAGTTTGCTATCCGCTTCGATTTTATAAAAAGAGACGACGTCCAAAAAGCGCTGCTGGACTACGGATGGCCGCTCTTTCAACACCTCCAGTTAGAGGAGCTCTTGTTCCCTATAGTAGAAGGTTTAGCCCTTGCCCTACGTATGGACGATCGTCAGGGAGACGCAGTTACCCTGCTGTATACGATCTAGGACGACAAGCAACGATTGAGCCCCTTCAAGCTCGGGAAACAAGCTGCTGCTGCAACCGTCGCTCTTACTAGTCGGGATGCGGTTGGCCGAGTTGAGTGATGGCTCAGACCAAGCACGAATTTTAGAAGAAGTCAACCTGCGCTGAAGAACTCCAGAAAGCAGATCTACGAGCAACATATGCACACGTTGGAAATTCGGAGCAAGTGCACCCGCCCGGGAAAAGAATCACACGGCGACAGGGTACCAAGGTAGCCTTCGTGGCGGCTTTCAATCCTCCTCGCTTACGTATGGAGCGAACTGCGCCTATCAGGACTATTGACTGGTACTATATGAACGATGAGGAAAGAACGGAGTTGCTACGTCGGGGATGGGAATATACAGGTAGACAGCCCAGATTAAAAGGGTGGTAACACAGTGTACATTTCTCAGGTTTGAGGGAGAATTAAAGTATGTTCCGCAGGTCCTGCATAGGTTGTGCACGTCTACATCGTACTGAGTGAGCTAACCTGGGCTATCGAACAAGCAATTACAAACGGTACAGCAATTGTGTACTGTCTCTGCGTAGTCGTTCAGCTCAGACTAGGAGTCGAAATCAGGCTGGGCACCTCTCGCAAAGGTGGTAGGAGTTAGAGTCGGCGACGTATCGCTGCTTGGCGCGCCTGGAGGGGAAGAGTCGCTCGCATCGCGTACAATACATGCCAGGGTGCTTACTCTAAGCATGTTGTTGGAGCGATCGCCAGTCATTAAAGCACAGGTCGCAATGCCAGCAGTTGTTCATATTAGTGCCGTACTAGCGGAGTTCCAAGCACGAGGGTGGACAGGGAGAGGTAGATCTGGCTGAATGTCGTCGTGACCAGAGCAGCTCTAATATAGGGTTATTCATCGTAAGCTTGTAACTCAAGCCGCCGTCATATAAAAAGACTGCGCGAGCGGCAAACAAACTTGCGTAAGGTCTTCCCCTTTGTACCACCCTGTCTATACTAGCTCCTTCGTACTCTGCTACGATGGCTTTGTTTTCGCCTAGCCTATAGCCTATAGACTTATCCTTACTACTAGGGCAATGCGGCTAGCTTCGGAAGAATCTACCTCTGATCTCCAATAGCTATTTAATCTGTCCGAATCCCCCTTCCTCTAGTTTCTCGGCTTCTCCTTCTTTCTTCCTTAATCCGACCACCTTCTCCCTTACCTTCCAACCATATTCCCGCATCGGCTACCACTTTCACACTAGACACGACCGTCCCTCTCCAGACTTCGAACCTATTAACACGTTAACGAGCTCGTTACTGCTGTTGACAATATGTCTGAATGTCCTAGCCATGGTACTACCCGACCTCAGAAAATGACGCCTAGCCGCATAGAGCGCAGAGGAAATACCCTTAACACGCTCAAGAGAGCTCCTGACATCATCGACCTAACCAACGACGACTCCTCTCCCAATCCGGCTGCCACCCGACCTCAGACCATGGCGCCTAGCATGCGTCGGAGCCCTGCAAACCACAGAGAAGACCTTGAAGTACTCGAGAGACCTCTTGTTATCGACCTGACGGATAACGACGCCGACGATAACGATAGCCAGACATGGGAGCCCTTTGCGGTTTACCCTATCTCATTGATGCTGGGATCCTATAGCGGCAGTACGAATTCTTTTACACTAAAGGGCGGTCGCTGGATAGACGACGATGGCAGGATGCTCTGAAGCAAAACTGGCCATCGCTACATCGTCAGGGTCGTCCTTAAGCCTAGCAATAGGTATCCTACCAAGTTTTGTTTAAGGCGTCGGGGAGGAGTCTTCACCGGGAAATACGGAAAATACAGAACTGGGGCGATTTCACTTGATCGCGGAGATGAAGGCCATGGGCCGTGCAAGCCATAGGCGAACAGTTAACGTGCAGCCAACTGACCATCCCATTCCATCCGCTTCATATGCGTTTTAAGCCTGCCCTCAGCCTATGCGAGGCATAGCGTGCCCGAGAGCGTGCCGCCCCTATCACTGATCTTGCCGCTGTCCCAAAAAGCATGTTGATGGACCTGCGTATATAGAACAGCTATACCTTAGGTCCGACCGTCTAGTAACTTAGTTGGGGTGGATATCTGGGAGGGACAGTGCGAGCCAATGTTTATTTCTCAAGATGACGTAGCTATTACCTAGACCCTCAACGCAGTGGCCCTTGAATATCCCTCGAACCCACTCCCTGACACATACCCCTTCCATCACTGGCCGCCACCTTCTGCCTTACTGCTGTTGCCACCTCGGTGACCCAGAATGCGCCGAAAAGCGTCCGTCCGCTTCTCGTGGCGCTCGTTGATCAGGGTCTCAGCCTCGCTATCGTCTGCCCAGAGCTCGGTCCAGTAGCAAGGAAACCGCTGGCCGGGTCTCCAGACACGGCCATATGCCTGCTTCGAATCGGACTCGACGAACGGCAGGTCGAAGAGGATGGCGTGGTTCGCCTTCTTGAGGCTGTCAAGACCGGTGCCGCAGGTGCCGACAGTGGCGATGAAGAGCATAGGCTTTGCCGGGCAGCCGATCAGGATGTCTTGGAAAGCACCCTCGATGGCCTTCTTGCCGCCTGCGGTGGCCGCCGAGAGCACTAGGACAACCTCCTACTGGCTTAACCAGTGCCTGTCCGTATATATGGTGATAATAATTACGACTCCTAGACGCGAGGCGAAGACGTAGGTGTATTTCTTAGGTGCTTGGCTAGTAATTCCCGTATCGCCTATGTCCATGTCATAGAGAGCTTAATCAAGGTAGTGCTAGAGCTACTCTATCTTTCTGCTACCGCGGGTGATTATATTAATATATTGGCGGATAACATGGTTGTTATAGCGCTCCTTTATAATAATGGTACCCTTTATTATATTGCTGTTTAGCTAGGTGGCTAGGTCCAACGAGATATTGTTGGGCAGATCCATGATACCTGGAAACGACGCGAGCCAGAGCGTCCGTATAAACGACTGGTTAAAGCGGGCGAACTAAAAGAAGCGATCCTAAATCGCTATATTAGTTGCAGGCGTTTATTTCTTAAACTTGGCGCAGGCCTCCTAGCTCTATATAGTCATTAGCAAGCCCATCTTATACTTAAAGTCCTCCTGCTATGCCCTAATAGATCTACAAGGGATCTGTTCGTGGCGGAGCGGCAGGAGTAGTAATAGTATCTGACTATAGAAGAGGTTGGTTATTGTATAACGTACGTTATAAGCGAGTGAAACATATAAGCGAATGAAACACTCCCCACCATATCGTATACCCTTTGCACCTTACCTTCAATCCCTCTACAACGAACCATGGCTTTACCTTCTAATGAGGCAAGGATTGTCCTTGCACTTAAAGCTCTTCAAAAGGACCATACTCTTAGTCTTCGGGCTGCAGCAAAGGTCTATAACATCAGCCCTGCAACACTTATGCGACGACGCGACGGCAGGCCTGTACGACGCAACACTACGCCTAAATCGCGCCGGCTTATAGATTCAGAAGAGCGGGCTATTGTTCAATATATTATTGAACTATCTTTACGAGCCTTTCCACCAAGGTTGCGTGGTGTGGAAGATATGGCCAACTAACTACTATGCGTACGCGACGCGCCCCCTGTCGGCAAGCTCTGGGCATACAACTTTGTCAAACGCCAGCCAGAGCTTCGTACGCGTTATATGCGTCGATATGACTACCAGAGAGCTAAGTGCGAGGATCCAAAGGTCATTAGCGATTGGTTCGCTCTCGTATAGAACGTCAAGGCCAAGTACGGTATCGTAGAGGACGATATCTATAACTTCGACGAGACTAGGTTTATGATAGGTATTATCTGTACGGGTATGGTGGTTACAACCTCAGATGGCCGTAGCAAGGCAAAGCTGGCCTAGCCTGGCAACCGCGAGTGGGCAATAGTGATACAAGGCGTCAATGCCCTTGGCTGGGCTATCCTACCCTTTATCATCTTGGCTGCGTAATACTACCTCGCCAACTGGTATTAAGAGTACAACCTCCCAGCCGACTGGCGTATTGCAACCACCGATAACGGCTGGACAACTAATGTAATAGGCCTCGATTGGATCAAGCACTTCGACTTGTATATAGTACCTCGTACAAAGGGCAAATACCAGTTATTGATCCTCGACGGCCACGAGAGCCACTACTCGACCGAATTCGAGCTCTACTGCCAGGAGCATAAGATCCTCACGCTCTATATGCCTCTGTATTCCTCCCACCTACTCTAGCCATTTGATGTTGGTTGCTTTGGGCCGTTAAAGCACGCGTATGGTCGCCAGATCGAAGACTTGATACGCGCGCATATCAACCACGTGAGCAAGGTCGAGTTCCTCTATGGGTTCCGCGAGGCCTTCTTCTCTTCTATTACCGAGAGGAATATCCAGAGTGGCTTTGCTGGGGCTGGCCTTGTGCCATATGATCCAGAGAGGGTGCTTTCTAAGCTGGATATCAAGCTTCGTACGCCAACACCCCCAACCTCACGGCCTGGCACTGTACAACCTTGGGTCTTCCAGACACTATACAACCCCCGAGAAGCCAACTCGCAATTAACGCTTATCAAGACTCGTATTGCCAACCATTAAAACAGCTCCCCGACTTCGATGTTGACTGCTGTGGACCAGCTTGCCAAGAGTACAACGGCCGTAATGCACTAGGTAGCTCTCCTTCGTGCAGAGAACGCCTCCCTCTGTAAGGCCAACGAGGCACTAAGTAAGCGCCGGAGAGCCAAAAGAACACGTGTATAGCTTGGAAGATCGCTTGCGGTACAAGACGCAAAGAATCTACTGGACTAGAAGGCCGTGATTGGGGAGGTGGCGGAAGAAAAGGAGTAGGATAGTGGTGGTGTAGGGGGGAGTTGTACGAAGGTTCGGTGCTGTGGTGTATGCGGCAAGCCTGGCCATAACGCCTGCACTTGCCAGGAGGCTGTAGAATCATCTGATTCAGCTATTTTTGATGTAATCATAGTTGGTTGATAGTGGTAGGTGGTTAAAGCTGGAGATAAGTATTGTGGTATAGGTGGGGGTGTTTCACTCGCTTATATGTTTCACTCGCTTATAACGTACGTTAGAGTATTATAACTTACCCAAGTAGGTCGGAGTATATATTTGTAGCCTCCTGGTATTTATCTATGTCTCTTGGTAGGCCGGTCTTTATAGCAGCGTCGATCATCTATACTATAGTATAGAACACGGTCAAGTCGTCGGGCGGTATAATAAGCGATAGCACCTCCTTTAGGCTTTGCTATAGCGATACGGAGATTGGCGTTACACTTAGTACCGCTAGCTTAAAGCGGTTAGATAGGCCGGCTTAACTCCGGAGCTGCTATAGTATCTTATAGACAATAGTCAAGGTATGCTTAACAAGGTGGAACTCGTCTAGGACGACAAACCTAGGCGCTACTGCCCACAAGGCAATATATAGCTGTAGCGACTTTCTCTGCTGCTATACCAAGTTATAGGCCCAGGCAAAGCAGTTGCGGTTACCGCTCTTTGACAAGAGCGATGCTGGGCTGCTACCTATAACTACGAGCAGGTGCCTGAGAAAGAGCTGCTATGCTTGGTTTGCTATATACCCTATCTCGGAACCCGAAACTGGGACAAGCACAGGCGCCGTCCCTTGGTGCCCCTTCTTAGGTAGAGCGTAGACCGGTTGTACACCTAGGAAATGCATCAAGATGTCGCTTTGGATGTCTTGTAAAAGGGTGGAGCCTATACTTAGGTCGACAGTGTCTACGAACGAAAACTGTTGACGGCTATACTGGCTGTTGTCCGATCCGGGCCGCTCTACCTCCTGCTCCAAATACCGCTTGGCCTCTTGGGCGAACTAGTCGGCAACGCTAGACGGCATAAAAACGAGCGACGGACTGGGTCCCAGCTGCCGGGCGATGTCCGAGCTAAATAAGTCGGCTATATAACAGCACTCGATGCTCTATAGGTTGCCTAAGGGACAAGGTCCTATAATACCCTTGGGGTTATGCCGGTGATGCGTAGTAACTCCTGCATTCTGGGTCGTAATAGTGCTCTACTCCTCTCTAACCTCGTAGTAGTTGAGTTCCACCAGCCTTATGACGGCAACCGCAGCCAGGCTGACGATGGTTTTCCCTAGCCCAGTGTCGAGCGCCACGATGCCGCTGTTGAAGTGCCCGCCAAAGCTCCGCTACAACAGCATATAGACCGCCTCCATCTGGTGAGGGTAAAGGCATAGGGTCGTCCCGAGCAGCTTGACACCCTGGTCGTATACTGTACGTGCTTTATCGTGATAGAAGAACCTACATGTTCTCTCCCAAATCTCTAAATCGTCCGCAACATGAAGAACGGCATAGAGATCCTATAGCGGGTTTATCTCGTAGGGGATTGCGTCGTTATCGTCTGCCTTGCTGCCCGGGCCATCTTTGTCCGGGCCCGACTCTGCTTTATCGCGCCCCCTGAGGGTAGAACGCCGCTCGAATAGAAACTACATATCCGCATTATCACCCGAGTCCGTCCGCGCGTCTTCCTGATGGCCTTCAGGGTGGTACCCGTCCCTATCGTCGTTGTCCTGGTTGCCGTCTTTATTCTTGGCACCCCTTGTGATATCCTTGTAGGCAGCCTTAGCGTGCATAGGCACGGCCTGCTAAGTCGTAAGCGGTTTATCTCTAGAGCAATCCGGGCAATTATCACTCTGGCGATAGCCAGCACCCTCCTGCTGGAACATGATAGTATTATCCATATCGCTGGCCTTGGCTGTAGAGCTCGTCTTTGTCGTTGCATTATCTTCCCCCGCCTTCTCGGACATGGCTATGTCAACTGCATTGCTGATGTTGTCGTCCGCATAGCTGGTCTTAGCTGCAGGGCTCGCCTCGGTCGTCGTATAATCTTCCCCCTCCCGCCCGAGTACGGTGGTATTGTTAGCATCGTTGATATCAGCCGAGGAGACATTCCGCACAATGAGCTTGAGCAAGGGAAGACTCGCGCTCCTGTCCTATCGGGTAGCTACGCACTTATCAAGGTGGAGAAGGAGAATCCGCAGATCACCGGCCGATCCAATGTCGTACGACCCGAGGCAATGCCGTTGCCTAAGCCATCGTCGCAGTCAGAGTCTTCGTCATAGCCGTTGCCCATCCTAGGACTACCGCCGGCCGCCGGCTCTACATATGCCGCTAGAACTTGCGTCTGCACCTTGGCATCGCTATGCTCTACGCTACAGGCGACAAGGTCCTAAAACATCTTATCGCAGTCGACGTATTCCGGCAGTAGCCGGTCGCTAGTCGCCGCCGCCGCGTAATTGACGACCCAGTGGGCCAAAATGTCGGCGTACAATGTCTGTCGGCTGCCGTCGGGGTTTTCCTTTCGTAATAGCACCTAGACATCCCGCAAATTGAGGCGCCTGGTAGTTCTTTCTTGGCCCAGAGAGCACTAATCTCCGAGCGTCAGTCGTCTACGCTTCACGTCCTCCTCGTCTATCTTATGGGTCGTGCCCAGACAGAGAGCTGGCATCAGCCGTTTTGCAGCTCTGGCGCGCGGTTGATCGTCCATGTCGGCGGCCAGGTCTTCCCAACGGTGGCAGTGGTCGATTGTATACGTGCGGTAAGCTGTACTATCACTGTAAGCGTCCGGTCGTATGCATAAGACCTTATGGAAGCTCAACGCGTAGTGCTTACCTGGCGGCGCCGCTTGCCTTGCGCAACAGGTTGGCTAATGAAGAAGACTGCCGCCCATATAGGAAGTGAACCGCGTGCTGACAATCCGCCGGGTCTTTTATACTGAGCGCGCCAAGGTATGACTACTATTCGAGTCGGTTAGTATGCCGTACAATCGCAATCCCGAGGGGAAGATTGCGGAATGATGCTTGTGCCTCGGCTTACCTAGTACCCGACCCGCTTGCACCAGACCCTGTGCAGCACGCTACGCGCTTAACGGGTAACAGTGGTATCGATCTCAGAAAAACGAAAACAGACCTCAACACGGCGACTGAATGGAAGATGGCAGAGTCGAAGTCGAGGCTGAGTTGAGGGGTTCCATATGGTCGGTGGCCGGTGTCGCGTATCACACGCATTGACCACTTCTGGATGCCGCGCAATGGAAAAGTGGAGTCTGTTGCAGGTAGGAGGTCTGGGAAAACCTCTGCACCGAGAGCGGGTTTATAGGACACGTGCTAATTTGCGATGCCAAGCACATTGCGCACTATGGGGTCGCTGGTTTCATTACCAATCAGAATCTTCCATTCAAAATAGCAGGATGTGGGCCGATTCTTCTCGATTGGCTATGGTGGCCTTGCGCGGCATTCGCCGGTTGAACCGGCTGCTACACTGAAGTGGGACAGAGGCAACCGTGCCAACCGTCCTGCTCGCATGAAGCTGTCCCTTGCAAGCTTATCTTTTCGGGGAAGAGGGGTTAATAAACAGGTCGTCTCGGGATCCAAAAACGGGCGCCTCTTCGCCTCTGTTAGGGCTGTCCGTCTCAAGAGAACGGCAAAGCCGGCTGCGCCGCAGAACCGTTGAGGTTTATGCAGCAAGTGCGGCGCAGCGGCCAATAGAACCCTGCCCTCGGACACAGCCCCGCCCTCAGGGCAGCAGGGTCGCCTACCTCACTATTTCGGACTGGTCACGTGCGGCGCCGCGTGTCGTCGACGCCCGATCATGTGTCTAGCTCCACTGGGTTGCCTATGGAGCGCAACTCCAAGGGCGCCTAGTTGAGTTTGAAAATGACGCCCTTCGGTTCAAAACGCAGGATGATATTTTGGCGGCTAAGATAATCTTATGTTGAACAGATTTCGGAACTGGCAGTTATGATAATCCCAAATTGCCCGCCAGCTTGGGCTCTGGTGTGGTAAGACAATGGAACGAAATTCAGCCACTGTCACACTTAAGGTATCGGCCCAATCGCTTTGAGAACCTTGTGTTTGTTATATGCAAGTCCCATACCCGGCCGCGATGATACGGCGCCATGTCTGCTTGGACCTCCCTAGCTGTCGTTCTGCACTTTTAACAAAGACTTATACTCAATGACAACTTCTTTTCAGCTTCTTGCAGAGTAAGCTTCTCCTAATACTATTTTACAACATCCGCAACAAACACGATGAGTACCGCATTATCACTTAGGCGCAATAGGTGAGCCGGACCTTGCTTCAGTAGCACTTGCCACCTAGCAACTGCTAATTCTATTTACCCCGCCCTTGGCCCCACGCAGTGACGATCTCTGGAGCGACGCAGTTGCGCAGCTCGATAAAGAGCTGAGAAATATCATCGACTTCGACCGTCTAGAAAAGCAAGAGATCGTTTCCGAGCTGCTCAAACAGACAAAAATCGGCATCCAGCACTGCAACGACAAAGCCTGGACGTTCCAGAGGGAAAAGAGCGGCGAGACGATCATTGTCAGAGACGTACTCCGCAAAGTGTTGAAATAGACTGACCATTTCAAGCAGATCGGAGACATTGCAGTACAGTATGATCCTGGCCATGCCGCTCTGCCATGGGCAGGCGTTCGGTTTCTACTCGAGGTGGGTCTACTGGGGGGATTCTGGGTGAGGAAGTTCGCGCTGACACGCGGTAGATCGCCACCAAGGATGTCAAGACCTTCGCTTCCGTCGTTGAGAATATACCGTTGATAGCGGAGCTCATCTGTCGCAGTGCGCTTATCGAGGAACTCCTACTACGGTCCCTATCGCTTACCGCGGACAAGCTACGGCAAGCCCTGGTCCTCCTCTACGTAAGGGTCATGGACTATCTCACTCGTGCGAGGGCGTACGCTCTTCAGCGTACTGCTAGTTAGTGAACACCTAACTCTTAGAGCGAATGAAGCTGACTCCTATAAAGAGCGTATCCTGAAAAGTTTGTCTCTGGCAACCTCGAATCTCGACGAGTCCTTCCACGCCATCGCCGTTGCCCAAGAAAATGTTGATTGGTATTTCAATTTAGAAACCGTTCAAGGTCAGCCACGTTCTCGCCACGTCTGTTGTTGCGTCTCTTCGCACCCTTGGGACTTTGCTAATGTGGACAACGCAGACAATCTCGAGAGGCATGAAGAGCTTAAGAGTATCCTCGCAGACTTTCAGGCTCCATTGAACCGCTGGAGCGAGCAGTTAACGAAAATCACGGACGATCTTGACGGTGAGTTGCGGCTTCCAGCTTCGAGTCGCTCAGCTGACGGCTCCTAGCAAAGAAGAGAACCGAGGTCCTGCACTGGCTATCTGCCGAGCCATACCTCCAACACCACGAACAAGCGAAGGAAGGTGTGCTCGAGGGAACCGGCCAATGGCTTCTCTCGGACCCCGTCTTTCTAAAATGGAAGGGAGACAGTGCCTCCTCCGTACTCTGGCTTCACGGCATCCCGGGGTCTGGTAAGAGCAAACTTGTGTAAGTACCCGTGCTCGCCACATTATAGCGATCAAGAACCTAAACTAAGTCAGGTCTGCTGTCGTTGAAGATGCCCTGAGAGCATACCTAGATAACCGGGGCCCCCAAAGTCCACCTCCAGCGTACTTCTACTGCTCTCGCAACCCCGCTGAACCCGGACGCTCCGATCCCAAAGAAATCCTGGCGAGTATTGCTCGTCAGCTCTCTTGCGTCGGACCCGGCCTTCTACTACTCCAGCCAACAGTGGCAGAATATAAGAAGCGCGAGAGAGAAGCCTTCGCCAATAAGTCACTACGGCTACAGGAGGGTCGTGATCTTATCCTATAGTTGGCCAAGCACTACCCTATGGTAATTATCGTAATAGATGCCCTCGACGAATGCAATCCAGCTACGCGGCGCCAGTTCCTCAATGCGATAGAGTCTATCCTTAGAGATTCTTCCAGCCTCGTCAAGATATTCGTCTCTAGTCGTGACGACCAAGACATCGTCTACAAGCTTCAGGAATACCCCAACCTTGAGCTATCGTCGGATAGGAACCAGGATGACATCGCCAAGTTTGTTGAATCCGAGACAAATTCCATGATCAAGAGCGGAGCTATGCTGCGATATAGCACAAGCAAGGAAGAACTACGGCAGAGAATTATCGAAGAGGTCACCAAGGGTGCGCACGGCGCGGAAGTTTGTTCCCAGAATAGTGACGGTATAGTACTCACAGCGTCGTGGCAGGTTCCGCTGGGCTGCCTTGCAGCTGCAGGCACTGTGCGATCTTAGCTCCGATGCCGCGGTTCGCGAAAGGATCGGGCGTCTACCACCTACACTAGAAGATCTTTATCGGGAATCCCTCGAGAAGCTCGACAACTACCAGGCTGAAGCCGACCGCAAATACGCAAGACGTATCATTGGGTGGCTTCTCTGTGCCCGCAGAAACTCAGCTCGGACGAATTTCTTACCGCCGTCTCGATTGCGGTGCCATTAGGCGGTCTTCTGACCAAAGAACAGGTCTTAGGGCTATGCCACAATTTCGTCATTTTCGATCAGGCACTCGACACCTTCCGTTTCGCACATCTCTCGGTCCGAGAATTCTTGGAGAAACAGGCCGCATATGCTTCCTCTTTGATCAACGCCTGGGCGGCAGAAGCTTGCCTCCTGACGCTGATTAACCAAGCCAACGATGACTCGTCAACTCACCTCCTGTCAGAGTGGAATGGTCTGCTTGACCGAAACAACAAAATGGCCTCGTACGCAATTATATACTGGGCGCCGCATTGCCAGGCAGCCGCCTCACAAAGAAGTCGAAGCCAACTGAGAACACTCTTATCTGATTTCCTTTCAAGCAAGATAAGCCCACCATCGCCATTCTTTCTATGGACTATGCAATTGAATGACCTTCCATGGAATATCGACTTCGAGGTTCGCGAAAGACTGGAAGAATGCCGCAGTACGTGGCAGCCTTCGCCAATATTCACCGCGTGCGCCTTTGACATTTTTGAAGTGATTGAGCGGGTCAACGCTGGCTTGGTGTATGCTAGCCTTAGAAACGATAGAGGCAAGAGTTTCCAGCATATTGCCGCGCAATATGGAAGTTGCGGGGTACTAAGGATATTAGTGGCGATTCATTCTATTGAAATCACCGTGGAGGTGGTCAAGGCTGCAGCCGAGAACTGGGGGTCTGGGAAAGACGTGATGGCCCTTCTTCTTGAGAAGCGAGGAGACCAGGTCGAAATCACAGAGGAGGTAGTCAAGGCTGCAGCCGAGAACTGGCAGAATGGGAAAGACCTGATGGCCCTTCTTCTTCAGAAGCGAGGAGACCAGGTCGAACTCACAGAGGAGGTGGTCAAGGCTGCAGCCGGGAACTGGCTGGGTGGGAAGGAGGTGATGGCCCTTCTTCTTGAGAAGCGAGGAGACCAGGTGGAAATTACCGAGGAGGTAGTCAAGGCCGTAGCCGGGAACTGGCAGAATGGGAAAGACGTGATGGCCCTTCTTCTTGAGAAGCGAGGAGACCAGGTCGAAATTACAGAGGAGGTGGTCAAGGCTGCAGCCGAGAACTGGCAAAATGGGAGAGAGGTGATGGCCCTTCTTCTTGAGAAGCGAGGAGACCAGGTCGAAATTACAGAGGAGGTAGTCAAGGCTGCAGCCGGGAACTGGCTGGGTGGGAAAGATATGATGGCCCTTCTCCTTGAGAAACGAGGAGACCAGGTCGAAATCACTGAGGAGGCGGTCGCTTCCGTAAGAGAAAACAAGTCAACAAAAGGCTTTGTCGACAAGTCGAGGACAACCGGCAGTTGCGGACAAGTTTCTTGGGCTCTGGGGACTATCAACGCTTTGGTGTTACTCCTTCTCGTCGGGTTTCAAGGAGTTCTGAAAACCTGAACCTGGCCTGGTGTCGAGGTTAGGGTTTGTTTTGTTGTGTGAATAGGTCCGTATTCATACCGACAGTGAACAGAAAGTCGTGCCACTTCTACAACAGCGCGATTGTATTATTCACCATTGACGGGGTTAGTGCTTTGGAACGGATTCCTTCTACCGTACGACGCAGTTGCAGCAACACAAGGTATACCCAGCTAGGAAACAAGGGGTTAGTCCTACTCTTGATGTTCCAGCGCTCTTATCTGGTTGGGTTAGTGTGCTTGGCGATGATATTCTCCTTTTGCCTTCCTTAACCGGCGTTCGTTATTATTGGTAGCATACATGTAGATGTTGTGAGAGCTCCGTTTCTCTCAGTCATTCAGCGGGTTGTTTCCGAAAAGGATCAGATTAGCGCTACCAAAAGAATTGGCTCACCGCCTAGTTTGGCTTAGGCAATACAGGAGCTTTTCTGCCAAGCAGAACCACTGTAATCTGGAAGGCGGTAAGCAAAGTCTGGTAGTAGGAGCTTCGGTAGTCGTTCTCGATCATGTCAATAGGTTCGTTCTGATAAAGACCGCAGATCGGATCGATGCGCCGCGCCCCGGAGTGAGGCTCCTGCACCGCTAGGCCGCTCTAAGGGCCGGAAGACCCGCTAAGCACGCGGAACGCTAAGAAGTTGGAACGAGAGACTTTTAGTCCCCAAAAAAGAACAGACAACACTAGGGATTCGCTGGTTACCGACCCAACTACCGAGCTGGCACTTGCAAGCTTATCTTTTCGGGGAAGAGGGGTCAAAAAACAGGTGGTCTCGGGATCCAAAAACGGGCGCCTCTTTTCTTCTGTTAGTGCTGTCCGTTTCAAGAAAACGGTGAAACTGGCTGCGCTACAGAACCGTTCAGGCTTATACAGCAAGTGCGGCACAGCGGCCAATCGAGCACTGTCAACGGGCACAACCCCGCCCTCAAGCAGCAGGGGAAAATGACGTGTCTGAGAATGCCCTGCGCGATTCTCTCCGCGCATGCCTCTAACGCGCGCCGAAGTCGATCCTGGAACGGTCGAAGACAGGTGGGCTAAGCCAAAAGAATGAACTCGCTGAGCGTCACCTGGTTGGCCGGGTCAGTGGATTTTCCGGGTAACCCGCCCGACAATTCTGCTGACTAATGGGTCGTGCATCTGGCGTAAGGATGCCATATTCTTTTCCACTTCATATCGAGAGCATTCTACCCGCGATGGCAGACCAACTACGATCAAAATGTTATTAGTTAGGGATAATCCCGTCAGGAATGGCCTTGATGTCTTCTGCGCTTCCGTCAACCCGGTCTACGTAGGAGCCGGGACGGGATATGGGAACCTTAACGAGCATATGGTGGAGACAGGGGCGCTTGACAAGTATAAGCGCCTTTATGGCTTGGTTATTATAGAGATTGTCTGGGATTTTACGGCTGCGTAATGGCTTTCTTCCGGTGTTGGCGTGGAATCTCTAAGGCTTGAACCTCTACTTAATCATTTCTGAGGATTATGTCCTGCATTATTCCGCTTCGTCGCGCCTTATACCAAATCTGCACCTTTGTCTCCTAGCTGAATATATCTTGTGTTGCTGCAACTGCGTCATACCTGGAAGATGGATATTTCGTTGCTTGTCGAGGCCGAGGACTAGTGCCTAATCTTAGAGAAGTAGCAACTGGATATCAATCAGAACTATAGTGGCGAAAAGTAAATAATATAAAGCAGACATAGCTCCTAGGTCTTTCACTCAAGCATATATATAAAAAATATAACGTAACGTACATGATAAGCGAGCGACGCAGATAAGCGAGCGATGCACTTTCAGTGCGACGCGCCTCCTCTAAACTTTTCCACCAAATACCACCGCAACAAGCCATGTGTAGCCCCTCAAAAGAAGCCAGGCTTCTTTTAGCCCTCGAAGCTATCAAACAGAGCGAGAATCTCAGTATCCGGGCGGTAGCCAAGCTATATAACGTTCCAGAAGCAACGATTCGCCACTGGCGCAAGGGACATACTGCAAGACGCGATGTTCTAGCCAACTCGTGTAAGCTCACGGATCTAGAAGAGAAGTCAATAGTTCAGTATATATTTATTCTCCTACTCCGCTATGCCTAGCTATTTACAAGTAGTTCAGTATATAACTGAGCTATCTATACGCGTATTCCCACCTAGATTAAGTGGTATGGAAGATATAGCCAACCACCTACTATACGAACGCGACGCGCCCCCTGTCGGCAAACGCTGGGCTTATAACTTTGTTAAACGCCAGCCAGAGCTCCGTACGCAGTATATATGTAAGTACGACTACCAGAGGGCTAAATACAAGGATCCATAGGTTATTAGCGAGTGGTTTGCACTTGTATAGAATACTAGGGCTAAATATAGGATTGTCGATGACGATGTCTACAACTTTGATGAGACTGGGTTTATGATGGGTGTTATCTTCGCGGGTATGGTGGTTACAACCTCGGATGGGCGTGGCAAGGCAAAACTAGCTCAGCCTAGTAATCGGGAGTGGGCGACTGTGATCTAGGGAGTCAACGCCCTTGGCTGGGTTATCCCTCCGTTCATCATCCTAGCCGCACAGTACCACCAGAGTAACTGGTACCGGGAGTGCAACCTACCACTTTGTCACGAACTAAGCCAACAGGACAGCTGCAGGTGGGACAACCCGACGGGTGGCGCAGGGCGCACCCGAACCAATCATTTAGGACCAATAAGAAGGAGCTCTAAGGTGCTCTAGAGAGCAGACGAGAGCTTCAGGAGCTAAGCCAATCAACGCGAGGAAATGGAAGCTCTCGATGGAGTCAACAGAGCACCGAGCTCTAGGGAGCTCTACAGAGCACATGAGAGCACCCAAAGATAGCCAGTATATAGTCACTCGTTCTGGAGGACTCTGGGAGTTCTCCAGTGAGCAATACAAGCAATAGCCCACACCTATTGTGCAGACATTGCGGCAAGCATTGTTGTGAACCCTTTGGCTTCACCGAGACCTACAGTCCGACCAGCAGATACCTTCGACCGGCGAACCCTTTCAGAGGCAGGACTGCCTGTGGTTTCGTCACACACTTACCTGGCGCATTGCAACCACCGATAATGGCTGGACTACCAATGCAGTAGGTCTGGATTGGATCAAGCACTTCGATTACCATACGGCACCTCGAACAAAGGGCATATACCGGTTGTTGATCCTCGACGGCCACGAGAGCCACCACTCAACCGAATTTGAGCTCTACTGCAAGGAGAACAACATCGTCACACTCTGCATGCCTCCACACTCTTCCCATAGGCTCCAGCCTCTCGATGTTGGCTGCTTTAGGCCACTCAAGCAGGCATACGGTCGCCAGATCGAGGGCTTAATGCGCATGCATATCAACCACATCAGCAAGCTTGAGTTCCTCTATGCCTTCCGAGAAGCCTTCTTTGCTTCTATGACAGAGAAGAACGCACAGGGTGGCTTTGCAGGGACTGGCCTTGTGCCATACGACCCAGAGCAGGTGCTTTCTAAACTAGATATAAAGCTTCATACGCCAACACCCCCAACCTCACGGCCCAGCACTGCGCAACCCTGGGTCTTCCAGACACCACATAACCCACGAGAAGCCGAATCGCAGTCAACGCTCATCAAGACTCGAATTGCCAACCATCAAAATAGCTCTCCGACTTCGATGTTGGCTGCTGTGGATCAACTTACCAAGGGTACAATGGCTGTAATGCACCAGGTTGCTCTCCTTCGGTCAGAGGTCTCTTCGCTCCGCGAGGCCAACGAGGCACTGAGCAAGCGCCGGAGAGCTAAAAGAACACGCGTGCAGCTTGGAGGATCTTACTGCACAAGGTGCACAGGATCTACTGGCCCAGAAGGCTGTGGGTAGAGAGGTAGTAGAAGAAACGCAGCCGGAAGGTAGTAGTACAGGGGGGGGTCGTACGAAGGTTCGGTGCTGTGGTGTGTGCGGCAAGCCTGGCCATAATGCGCGTACTTGCCGGGAGGCTGCAGAATCCTCAGATTCAGCTGTTTCTGATGTAATTATAGTTGGTTCCTAGTGTTGTTGTGTTGCAATTGAGTATAGTGTTCATAGGGTAGTGGAAAGTGGACCGTTCGCTTGTCTGGACCGCTCGCTTATCAAATACGTTACATGGCATTACAACGATTATAGAACTCCATCACTCCGCAAAAGCAAACCGAAAGAACGTCACTTGGCCAGAGGCGTGTCCTAGGATGAGTGTATGACCATAAACCGCCACACATGTTGCCCGATAGTCAGCGGGAAGCCAAAGAACGCTCTTCCCATTTCTTGTGACCCAATCGTCGCCGACGAAGAGAACACCGCTGGCGGGTTTCTGGTCTCCAGAGCTGCTCGGGGCGTCGGAGTCTACGCTCAGCAGCCCTCGGTCTGTCTCGAGACATTGACCATTCCTAGAGTACGCCACTGCCCTGACCCCGCCGCCATGCCCCTCGAGCGTCTGCCGGTGCGCGCCGGTCGCCGCATCCCAGAGCCGGATCGTCTGATCGTCCGAAGCCGACGCGAGCGTATTGCCGTCCGGCGAGAACGCCACTGCGTTGACCCAATCGCGATGACCCTCGAGTGTCTGCCGGTGCGCGCCGGTCGCCGCATCCCAGAGCCGGATCGTCTTATCGCGCGAAGCCGACGAGAGCGTATTGCCGTCCGGCGAGAACGCTACTACGTTGACCGAACTGCGATGACCCTCGAGCGTCTGCTGGTACGCGCCGGTCGCCGCATCCCAGAGCCGGATCGTCTTATCGTACGAAGCCGACACGAGCGTATTGCCGTCCGGCGAGAACGCCATTGCGTTAACCCAACCGCGATGCCCCTCGAGCGTCTGCCGATGCGCGCCGGTCGCCGCATCCCAGAGCCGGATCGTCTGATCGTCCGAAGCCGACGCGAGCGTATTGCTGTCCGGCGAGAACGCCACTGCGTTAACCGAACTACGATGACCCTCGAGCGTCTGCCGGTACGCGCCGGTTGCTGCATCCCAGAGCCGGATCGTCTTATCGCGCGAAGCTGATGCGAGCGTATTGCCGTCCGGCGAGAACGCTACTGCCCTGACCCTGCCGCCATGCCCCTCGAGCGTCTGCCAGTGCGCGCCGGTCGCTGCATCCCAGAGCCGGATCGTCTTATTGTCCGAAGCCGACGCAAGCGTATTGCCATCCGGCGAGAATACCACGGCCTTAACCGAACAGTGATGCCCCTCGAGCGTCTGCCGGTGCACGCCGGTCGCCACATCCCAGAGCCGGATCGTCTTATCGCGCGAAGCCGACGCAAGAGTATTGCCGTCCGGCGAGAACGCCACTGCGTTAACCCAACCGCCATGCCCCTCGAGCGTCTGCCGGTGCGCGCCAGTTGCCGCATCCCAGAGCCGGATCGTCTGATCGTCCGAAGCCGACGCGAGCGTATTGCCGTCCGGCGAGAACACTATTGCGTTGACCGAACTACGATGACCCTCGAGCGTCTGCCGGTGCGCGCTGGTCGCCACATCCCAGAGCCAGATCGTCTTATCGCGCGAAGCCGATGCAAGCGTATTGCCGTCCGGCGAGAACGCCATTGCGTTGACCGAACTACGATGACCCTCGAGCGTCTGCCGGTGCGCGCCGGTCGCCGCATCCCAGAGCCGGATCGTCTGATCGTGCGAAGCCGACACGAGCGTATTGCCGTCCGGCGAGAACGCTACTGCGTTAACCCAATCGCGATGCCCCTCGAGCGTCTGCCGGTGCGCGCCGGTCGCCGCATCCCAGAGCCGGATCGTCTCATTGTCCGAAGCCGACGCGAGCGTGTTGCCATCCGGCGAGAACACCACGGCCTTAACCGAACGGCGATGCCCCTCGAGCGTCTGCCGGTGCGCGCCGGTCGCCGCATCCCAGAGCCGGATCGTCTTATCGTCCGAAGCCGACGCGAGCGTGTTGCCGTCCGGCGAGAACGCCACTGCGTTGACCCAACCGCGATGCCCCTCGAGCGTCTGCCGGTGCGCGCCCCAGCGGTCGTTTATACCAGCAGTCATTTTGATAAAAGGCAGCCTTTCCTTCCAATACCGCTTTCTAATCTCGCTCAGAGTTGGGCTGAATACGAGCGCGGAGCCGTATATCTGTACGGGGGCCCGCTCTATGATCGGTCTGTGACTGAATACAAACTTCTCTGCGTCTTCTAACAGCTCAAGAAGGCGAGGGTTGATGTCCGGTTGTGACTGACTGGATTTAGTAATCTGACAATAATACGGCACTACCAACATACCTGAGCGGCACGTTGAATCTTTCTTATCGAAAGCAGCCCACTAGAAAGTTTCCCTATAAGAGACAAACTCTCAAGCCAGCGGAGGAAGTATTCCGTCAGGAATCCAAACACCTTCCCGTCTTCCGTTAGTTCTTCAAAAAACCTGGATTTGTCGCTGTTCAGGGAGCAGAGATGGTCAGCCCAGAAGACACAAGCATATCGTATTGGAGCTAGCGGATTTGGATTAGGGGGCGTCATATTCTCCGGTTTGAAGCCTAGATCGAGGTTGTATATGTTCTGCCTCAGCATTGAGGACATCGCATCAATTGAGCGCCTGCCGATCTCGGCATGTCCTTGAGCGAGCCCAGCTGGCTGAAGTCTGAATTCGTAATTTTTCTCCAGGTAGTCCTTGGCCGATTGATGAATCAGGTGAACAGTGTCCCCTGTGACTTTGAGAAATGAGCCGCACTTATCCACGATTGTCCGTGGATCAACCATCGCTGACAAACCTGCAACCACAGCAAGCTCAAGGAGGGATAGAGGGCGATACGCGAGGAATGTGGCCGCTAGCACATCCTTGCAGCGCTGCTGATCTCGTTCGCTCCCCTTATCGATTTTGGTCATTATATAACCGTATAGATCTGTTAAACCGGCGGGGATCTTCTGGACAGCCTCGACGGCATCCCAGCCGTCTACACGATCGAGTTCTTTAAACACGAGAGCCACCCATAGGAAAGTGTTCTCTGCTCGTTGGTGGACTTCACGAGAGATCTCGGCCAAAACGCTATCGTTGTATCCTTTTCTGCGCTTAAGGGCGACGAGCTTGTGATCGATGTATGTATTGACAGGTTTTGCTAGACGTTGAGTATCCAGCTCGACAAGGGAGTTGGAAGCGTCCGTAAAGTTGGTGCCCGGATCTCTGAGTTCAGCGAGAAGGTCAACTTCCGGACGGCTAGAGAGCAGCCATTTGACCTTCTGCGAGAGTGTGAGAGAAGTCGAGATAAGGCGGACAAGCTCCGACCGCCCCTGCGCACACTCATCAAGAGCGTCCACCGCGAGATACACAGGCTTCAGTTCTGGGTCCTTTAACATGTTCCGGAACGCCTCAGATAGAGCGTAGAAGGCATTTTTGTCACTGAAAAGATTGGCGCCTGACTCTTTGTACTTCTGAAGTAGATGGGATATGAGACATGGCTGCTGAAGAAGGAGAAGCCAGATCAGAGACCGGAGGACGGCGGTGGCGTTGTTCAGGGCGGTATCTGTGCCTTGACAGAAGAAAAAGGAGAGTGCTGGCGCCAGGACGACGGGTTGATGGGAGAGTTGGCGGATGAGGCCGATCATGAGCATCGTCTTTCCCGTGCCGGCGTGTCCTTTTATCCAGAGCAATTGCCGCGGCGGATAACCAGATCCGCTATCGCCCCAGTTTGTGAACCCTATGTACTCCGGGGTGCGAAGGATCCACTGGTACGCATCGTCGAGCAAGACATCCTTACTCTCCTCAATCCGCTGCATGTCGTGCTGTGGATCAACTACGCGTAGATCTCTGCGGCACGCTGACTCGATATTATCCCTACGGGCGTCTTTCTGCAACGAGATGAAGTCCCGAATGTCCCGATGGATGTCGCCGAGTCGCCTCTCTATTCGCTCGGCATGCTCAACGAGTTTTCCTAAGGAAGTTTTCGTTTGTTCTTGGAAGGACTGGGCAGCATCGTTCTGAACGGTAGCCTCTGCGTCGGTAACCAGCTTCAGATCGCTGTCCCAATCATCAGGTTTGAGCATGCCGCGAATGAATACAAACCCTTGATTGCGATAGTAGGAACAAACACTCTTCATCTGGTATTGGAGAAGAGCTCTGTAGAGCTCGACAATGCTCTTTTCCAGCTGGCGCAAGACTGCTTGGATGTCCTTGCCAGCGGCAACGTTGTTCTTGTTCAGGAGATGTTCGGTGAGGGCGCAGTACCATTCCATTCTGGAGATGACGTGGGCGATACCGGCAAGGTTGGATTTCGTCGCTTGTGCAGGATTCCGGAGGATCTGGAGACATGTTAGCAGGGCGAAGCGCAAAGGGTGTTCGAAGGACGACTGCTTACTTGCAGCCCAACGCAAACACCGGCCCACGGAAGCGCAGCCTGCGGCACGCTTTGCACAGCCAGGTCAATTATTCGCTTGACCGACAGGACGAAATCGGCGACGTCGCCTACTCCGTTCGTGATCTTGGACGCTCTGGAGATTTTCGCCCGGCCTTCTTCCACCAGCCTCCTCATGTGCATCTGTCGTTTGGTCGGGTCATGGAGCTCGGCCGAGATGTTGGTGCCAGGGGCAACGCCTGGCTTGGCTCCGAGAACTGTTTCCAACGTCTTCACGTATGACATGACAAGCTCCACATTGTCCGTCTCAAGGCTGTCGTACGCGGCGTTCCACAGTCTCTCAGACACGGAAAGGACAGGGGTTGGTGGCTCTATAGATTCGGTCGGCGGTGGTTTGGGTGCGTGTTCGGCGGGCAGGGCAGGAGGCAGTGTTCGCGATGCTGCGGGTGGCTGGTGATCGTTGGGGACTCTTGCATCTGTGCCGGGTCGGGCGGCCTTTGCGACGGCAGCGGACGGGGAGGGGGGAGCATATGACTCTGTCGCGATAATAGAAGACGCTTTCGATCCGTGTTCTGCATTTCCCTGATCGGATGACCGGACGTCTGCCGGAGAATGTCAGTTACAAGAAGCCTTGCGATGCTAGGCAGAGTCTTAACATACCCTTCGACGGCGGGGCAGACGGAGCCGGCGAGGCTGCACGACGACACCCGAAGAGCTCCTTCCACCACTTCTTCCGCGATTTCGGCTTGTTTTCAGCAGACATAGCTCCGACAAGGATTTTTGTCGAGAGGAAGAGATGCTACTGCAATAGTAAAACAACGTGAAGTCGACAGCTGCATTTCGCGCGGTATTGCGGGGCGGAGCTGAAAGATGCGGGGAGGCTTGCCTGTTTGGCTGTCGGCCGTCCGAAAGAAAGCCGTGGCGGTGCTCTTGACGAATGGCAGTAAAGTACTTCCCCTCCATTTGCGAGACGAACGACGCAAAGTCGTTCAACAGGACCCGTGAATCCAACGCACCACGGATATACCGGGAGCATCAGCGACACGGTCTTCTGATCCTGATTCTACGCACTAAGGCCCGCGGGTGGAGCGACCAGCCAAGAGCAAGCGTGCCTTTTCCACCCTGCTCTCCGCTTTGGAGAGCGTCGGCCCGACGCGGCGCGGCCCTTCCCGCGCCTGTTCCTATTGAGTCCCGACCCCTGCCCTTGGGGCTTGGAGATCGTAGCGGAGGTCATCGAGCCTTTGTAATGTTGTGAGAGCTCCGTTTCACTTAGTCATGCAGGGGGTCGTTTCCGAAAAAGATCAGATGTACGGGTTAGTCGTTCTTGATCATGTCAGCAGGTCGTTCCGATGAAGACCGTGGATGGATCGATGCGCCGCGCCCCACAGTGGGGCTTCTACGCCGCTAGGCCGCTGCAAGAGCCGGAAGACCTGCTAAACACGCGGAACGCTAAGAAGTTGGAACGAGAGACTTTTAGTCTCCTAAAAAGAACAGACATCACCAGAGATTCGCTGGTCACCGACCTAGCTACTAATCTAGCCCTTTTACAAAGTTATGTTTCGGGGCAAGAGGGCTCAGAAAACAGGACGTTTCGGGATCCAAAAACGGGCGCCTCTTCGCCTCTGTTAGTGCTGTCTGTTTCAAGAGAACGGCGAAGCCGGCTGTGCGGCAGAACCGTCAGCTCCAATGCAACATACGCAGCCAATCGAGCACTCGGTTCGAGTCTGGCTTGACGCTGCCCACCGACATTCGGTGACCCGAGGTCTGAGATTTGTACCACGATGATTGGTCACAATTCGCTTAAACTGGAAGCTGGTGACCTCATGCATGAACGAGACGGCATGCTTCATGTCGTCTTCCGCACGGTGTATCTCGCTTGCGGTTACAAAATGCCACTCCTTCATGAACATTGTGTGAAGCGTAGGCAAACTACCTCGTAGAAGCGCCTTGGCGTTGGCGGCGATTGGTCCAAATGGAACTGGGGTAGTTGGTGATAAAGCTGAGGACGCAGTGTAGTGCTCTTTTGCAGTGAACATAGTAGTGATCTACGTGAGCAGCGACAAGAGGATGCCTTTATATTGCAGTGAGACTCATTCTATAACGCCAATAAGCTCTATATACATACTTTGAGACCGGTGGAGATATACGTGAGGCTCTTACTCATGCATTACCACTAGATAGACTAGGAAACGTACCTTAAGGTAGTTCACCTGCCAATAGGCACGGAAAGCCTTCTTCCTTCTTAGGCAGGTCTCAGATATAAACACTAACCTACCTGGGTGTACCGTGCGTAATGTGGCCCGCCAGAGCCTACCCTGTGCATCCGCGTTCGCCTGCACGGACTACAAGATGCAAGGCAGGACGCTGGACCGGGTGGTGCTGGAACTGCGCGGGACGCGGACAACAAACATCGACGGCCGGGCAGTTCCCACGCAATGCGACCCTTATAGGCTCTATGTGCAGCTGTCGCGATGCACGTCGCTAGACGGTATCATGTTGTCGTCGAAGGCGTGGGAGCGGGACACCGTGGGAAACACCGTACCGGAAACCATGGCCGCGGCGGAGAAGAGGCTGGAGCAGCTGAGCGAGGCGACGATCAGGGACGCGGAAACATGGGACTGGTGACTACCGTAGCTGCGATCAATGGCAGGCCTTGACCGCTCTCCACCGCACCCTCCTCCACGAGCACCACAACTTCTTCCTCGCCTCCCAGCACCCGTCAGCAAGCCCTGCGTTGAGAGGGTTAGCCGACAAGTACGACATGGCGGCCCGCATGTGGCGACACGGCATCCACAGCTTCCTAGAACTCCTGAGGCATCGCCTGCCGGCCAGCTTGGACCACATGCTTACGTTTATCTACATGGCCTACTCAATGATGGCCCTGCTCTATGAGACGGTACCTGCCTTTGAGGACACATGGATTGAGTGCCTGGGAGATCTTGGCCGCTACCGAATGGCGATTGAGGACGACGACATTCGGGATCGGGAGGTCTGGACCGCCGTTAGCCGCCATTGGTATTCTCGGGCCTCGGACAAGGCTCCAACCACGGGAAGGCTCTATCACCACCTGGCCATCCTTGTTCGCCCGAACGCACTGCAACAGCTTTACTACTACTCCAAGTCCCTGTGCGTGGAGGTGCCGTTCCTCTCTGCGCGAGAGAGCATCATGACTCTCTTCGAGCCCATCATGTCCCGCACCCCGAATCCTCAGCAGGCCCGACTCCACCTACCGAGCTCAATTTTGTAAAGACCCATAGCATCTTGTTTAGCGGTAAGCAGCAGGAGGAGCTGGAGTCCACAATGGGTGCCTTGTTCCAATTGCTCGACAACCACATCGGCCGTTCCACTCGCCGATGGCTTAAATCAGGGTATATGACTGTCGGCGTGACTGTTGCCAATGACTTGGATATTGACGTTTCATACCAGATATCACATGGGCATCGCAAACATCTGTGCCATGACGGGATACGGTGATCCGGCCAATCCCATCGCCGCAGCGCTCAAAGCCTTCTCCCGCGCCAACCCCAAAAGTACTACGGAACCCCAAGATCAACCGATGCAAGAAGCCACCGCATCCGAAACCCCGTCGCCCAACGCCAAGGTTGTCACCCCGAACAGCGCCAACCAGCTCCCCAACGCCCTCCGTCTCCTCACGGGCACCTACGACGTCGTCTGCCGCCGCTTCGGGGACCCCAACATCCTCCTGTTCCTGCTCCTGGAAAGTTATTGGTTCCCCGCGGCTGCGGAGCAAGGCAAGGTCGTAAAGGAGGGAGGGTTGAAAGGCGCCGCCGGGCTCCGGCGGAGGAGGCCGCTGCCGGATGATTTCGCCTTGAGGGGGTTCCCCTGGGTCGAAAAGTATCCCCCTGACGGGTGGTTCGTCACCGAGAAGATTGACGACGATGAAAAGTATTTTGAACTGGCCAGTATGACGGAGGAGAGGAGGGAGCGGGTGGTCTGGCTGGGGTGCCGTATTGCGGAGAGGAGGGCGGGAATTTGACAAGGAGGCGAAGCGGTTTGATGTGAGCCCTGAATATGAGGTAGAACTGGATTTGGAGATGCCTGGTCAGATACCTATTATCCCCGGGGGCAGTGTCGATCATGGGGGCTCCCTGATGCGGGGACCGTTGCATGAGCGCGACTACCCTGTTGTTCGTGCTGGTGCCCAAGAACATCCTGTCAAGACACTGAAGATGACGAACAACCAGTGGTAATGAGATTCAGTTGTTCCCCAACGCCGTCAAGCTATTTACCGGTACTTACAACATTGCCTGCAACCTGAACAATAGCTGTCCCCTTGGCCGCATCCGAGCCCACCGTTCGGTGCATTGTTGGCCGGGGGTTGACCTTTCCAGAGCGGTAGTTCTTAACCTGTGCCACTTGGGTTTGGCAGGTGAATGGACTGCTTGGCAGGCCACGAACCCCACTTCCCTGATCGTTCTTCAACCGAGTTCTGATTGGTCTATGCTCCGCTTACATGCGAACGCCAACGAAGGTCGAGAGTTCTGTTGCAAAGTTCGTATTCAGAAATCGAAACGAGTCTCGAGTATATTACAATTATACCAAAAGCATGTCCTACGCAGACATAGGAGCCTGAAAGCAAATGCAGCACCACCTGCCGCACGCAGAGTCGACTTCGTAGCTAGAGCGAATTCGTCCGAGTGGGTCCTAGATCCCCCTCCTGACGACCCCCAACTTCGACGGTTTTTGCGTATACCAGAAGTAGTAATAGAAGTACCGGTGGACGCCGGTATTTTGCAATCCCCGCCTGGCGTGTGCCAGAATCACCTGGCTCTTAACCTAGGACATCCCGAGGGCGGTGAAGGGCCTGCCGGAGAAGGCCGGCATCAGGGCTTGCACAGCTACCTTTTAGTACATACCGATATTGCAAAGGGTCTTGTCGCGGGCCCAGGGGCCGATAGGCACCTTCTTGACGACACATTGTATGTTCTCAAACCCGGCGTGATACAGCATAGGCTTAAGGCGCTTAGGCAGCGTCACGTCTATATCGAACTTGAGAAAGGCGCGCTATATATGCTCGTATATGTGCTTGACTGGGTCGTTGTCGGCCATGGTACCGTCATCGCAGAGAACCTCGGCGCAGAGTTCCTGAAGTTCGACCTAGCCACCAGGTTTTAAGCTCCTGTAGGGACAGTACGAGTCAGAAACCAGCCGAGAAATGCCCAGCTAGAGTATAAACTCACTGATATACGTAAGACAAGACTCCTGGGACGTCCTTAAGTACAATGGTCATGAACCTAAAGTGGACAAAGTCGGTATCCTGGTCCACCCACTCGCCCTGTTCGCAGTCGTCTATAAGGAACTCGACGTTCGGCGGCGCCCATACGGGCATATAAGGGGATAGGTCGATGCCACGGACATGTGCGTTGGGGAACTCATCGCCGATGTCGATCGCCCAGATACCTGCCATATCGTGTTAGTCACCATCTCAGCAAGAGAGTGATAGGGTGGGTGGATTTGGTTGACTGACCGCTGCCGGTGCCAATGTCGAGAATATTGTGTGGGTTCTTGATGGGCGCATAGAACAGCCGGCTGTCACATAGTTCCATCAGCATCGCATGCTTCAAGTCCTCGCGCGCGAGCTCCTCATCGTCGTTGGGGATCGGATAGCGGCCATTCTTGAAGTGTTGGTATCGGCGGCCATTCTCATACGCGTGGGCGTAAACAGACGAAGTCACGCTAGCCAATCCCGTGGACGCCGTTTCGTAGCCTTCGGTAAGCTCGTCGTCAGGACCAGCGGGGAAGATGCTGGGATGGTGCTGGTCCTCCGGCTGGGGGTCGGGCTTCTCCTGATCGCCGCCTTCGTGGAGCACAGTAGCATGCGGGCTAGCGGCGGAAGAGCCTGCGATGCTTGGGTGTTGTAGAGCGGGGCTGGGGTCGCGGCACGGCATTGTTGGTGGATCTTCGTCGACGTTTGCGGCGGCGGTGGCGACGGCGTCGCTGACGAGGTTTTCCCGGTGGTGCCCGACGCTTTCGCAGTTTCGCCCGTTTCGAGAGTCTCGAATCGGCGGCGGGTTGGGCCGATTTAGAGGAGGTAGAGGTGCTGCTCGGGCCCTCCTTGCGTTTCAAAGAATCATGGTCACAGTATGTCTGCTTGCGCCTGCAGCAATTGGAGAATAGTCTGCGGCAGATTCCTCGAGAGGAACGGGAAAGGGAAAATGTCTCGCGAATACAACAAAGAATCACATGAGTATCGACAATCGGACTTCATCTGCTGCAGGGTCGGCACCAAGATTGCGGAGCTGCCCCTGTCATGACTATTGAATCCGTCTAGGGTGCAGTGGGTGGGGGGCTCATCGTCCAACCTGCTGTCCTGGAGTTGCTAGGAGTTGGTGACCAGACCAGAAGTGGCTTGCATTAGTATAATGTTTTTATAGGCACCCCTCTCCATGTTCATTCGACTCGCGCTTTCAGCCAACCACCACGTTTCCACTTCTTCCTCCGCTTCTTCCGTGCAGACGCAGAAGGTGATAAGCTTCGATTCCTCCTATCGGACATGATCAATGCCCTTGTTCTCCAAACATGCGACATGTCGTACTGTAGTAGCCTTTCCAAGGCCCCATTCGGACGATCGATTGGGCCGATCGAGCGTAAATGACAGTCTGCTTCGACAGGGAGGGTGATCTCCACAGTCCTTGCCTTGTTATTTGCGAACCCCACCTTCGCAGGTCCCTGCACCTGCCCCACGCGGGCCTGGGAAACATACCCGACTTGGCAGCGGCCACCTGCAGCCCGTGGCTTGGCATGGTTGACCGTGGGGCAGCTGTCGAGCGGGGAAGAATCCAAGGCTTGGAAAAGATACTCATTGTTGAACTTGTAGTTTCGGTCTTTTGTCCTCCACACAGTGGTATATGGCAAGGCCTGGGAGAAACACAAGTGACTAACAAACTCAGGAATTGGCAGCAACTTTGTGATCGAGCAGAATCACTGTCTCGCCCTCCGCCCCAAATCACTACTCCCTAAGACAATCCACAGATCGGGAGACGGGCTAGCTATGCGTCTACCCAGGCCTTTATCCGAGGCCAAGCCATCCAAGACAGAGGCAGGTAGTAGTGCTTGAGCAATTCCCTTCCCAAGTCGGTTCTCTTTATGTCCTCCTCGTGAACATAGATTGTTCCACGGCCTCCGAGCTCCAACTCCACTCTGCCCTCGGCGATTGTCCCTACAGTTATCTCAGACTTAGTTATCTCAGACCAAGTTGCCCAATGCCAACGAGACTCGGGGGAGGGATTGAGCGCCTCCTTTCCCAGCTCCGTTCTCTTCAAGTCCTCCTCGTGAACACAGATTCTTCCGTCTCTGAAGGCTAACATCCACAACTTCGCTCGCCGTCCGTGCGAGTCGGGAGCCTCTGAGGCTTGCGGAGTCTAAGCTGCCGTTAGCAAATCTTGTATGCCCCCAACGGCCGGGCAACAGAACCTTGGCCACTCTTGGTTCAGCAATATAAGGACTGCCAGACCCGTCAAGGGTGATGATGTCGGTTTCTGCAGGCTTGCTGGCGGTCTCGGGTACTATGGTGGGCCTTGGAGGTTACGTACGGTTTGGTGTCCGTGCTGTCAAAGGAGCGAGAACACAACTGAAGGAAGCAGAGAAAGCGTCCGGGGAGCAAGCAGTAACACAAGATTCGGAGCCCTCTGGGTTGGGTGAGGGTCCCTGCATAACCCTCCATGGCGGCGTGCCGCGCTGTGTCTCGAGGTCAGATTGAAACCGGGGACGCTCCGATTTGAGCGGAGGATCGCAAGGAAGAAAGAATAGGGGTTGCTGCATGTCATCATTGGCGCGGAGGGCGATTCGTCCATACGTGATGGCAGCCGTCCGAGCACGGCTCTCGGCAGCGAGTCTATTTGCACGGCGATATACAGGATATCGGGAACTGATATCTTGCAGGCTGCATAAGCAAGGGGATGCTGACGGCCGAGACAACCACGTACGCTTGGGGCCAGATGAAACCATGTCAGATGCCGAGCTGGTGCGGGAACTCCAAAGTGACCCTGCCAGCAAGGAACGGTGCGCTGAGTGCTGGAACCCTTGCAGGTACCTCAAGGTACAGGTTGCACCCCGGATCACAAAGTGGCCAGCGGCATGGCTTGCGAGAACAAGCGGCTGTAATTGAGGATCCACCGCGGCTTCATGCGGGTAGCTTACCAGAACAGTTTGACGATCATTCTTGGCATGTATGTGGGGTGGCTCGCCCAGTCTCTCTTGCCCAGTCTCTCTCGCCCATTCTTTCTCGCCCAGTCTCCCATGATTCCCAGCAAGCGGCTGGCCGTTTATTTCCGGTTCGGGGTGTACTGTCTTGGGGTTGTGCCCCAGCTGCTGCTCATGCAGAGTTTTGTTTGTGACAGGCGTTCACTCATGGTCCCCAGTTTTCAGAGCCCCCTCTCTCCCTTTGCCTCCCTCCTTGGCCTCCAAGATCGGCGCGACATTTGCCATTGGCTTTATGGCGCCCATCCTGAGTCCCGCCGCCCTCATTTTCAGCAGTTGGCTTCTCCTGTCGTACCTCTCGATTCTCCGCCTGCTTCGGCTCAGGCAGCAAATACTTAGCCGCCGTTGCTGCACTAAAGACAGGTTAATATACTGGCTTATAAGGCAGCCTTCAGTCCATAGCAAGTATCCATCAGAGGGAGTATGTAATTGAAGATGGCAAAAGAATTGGTTTGTGTTGCAAGTCGCGCACGAACTGTGCTAAGGTAACGATCTATATATTACCAATGTGGCCTTGTCGACTGGGGTCGACGGCATGGCTGTCTGCAACTGAACGCGCAGGACCGCGCGTGGGATTCCGAAAATGGCGACGGGCTGTCTTTGGCAACCCTAACCCCTTACCTGAACACCGGCAAGACGGGATATACAACTGACCAGTGTTCGTGACGGCGCCAGGGGCTGGCCGGGACTCCTATGCTCTGCGGGTACCTTGCAGTATACCGCTGCGAGCGGACGGACAGGACTATGCTATATCTGTCCCCATCCCTCTCACCTCTGTCCATCTTGCAAAATTCTGCATCATCCTACAATATACTCTCTCCAGCCCGAGGCTTGACAATGTACAATTATACGCAGGTAAGCACTCTGCCCCAACTGCAATCCGCGTCTAATGCCAGCAGCGAGAATATTCTTGTAGGCACCTCCGCTAGATTGCATCGAACTGGTGCGGAAGTTTTAAGGAAGGGCAGAAGGGATGCCTACCCAAGATCATGGACTTTAAAGACAGCGCGAAAGTTTGCGGAGAGTGCAAACCAAAGGAGTTGACAGACTGGGAGCTTTCGTTTAGGTTGAAGCTATCCAAATTCCGGGGTCGGGGATAGCATGGGGAGAGGCTGCATGTTGAGCACATAAGACTACTGTATTAAACCGCAATTGGACAGCCCAAGGGCCCCTGCTTGCCAGGACTGATCTTCTGCACGAGCGTTGTAGGCGACAACTCCAGATCGAGTCGGTAGCGTGGTATCGACAACGTAACACGATCCCTTGTCCGCGCATTGTTCTTCCTGTTACATGGATCATCAGTTAGCAGTATTCAGACTGCGCGCCTGCTTGACCTACACTAACAAAGGTACTTGCGGCTGAGAATAAGTTTACCCTTGCGTTCAAACCTCAAGTAGACATCGAGGCGCGCCCGACTTTCGACTCTAAACACTATCCCCTCGCGCGCGAACGACTCTATGACCTGTCCGCTCTTTATAATGTTATCTCAGTGTAGCCTGATTCCTCGTCAGGAGATCCCGTATCAGCTGACAACTCGACTACGTCTTCCCGTCGCACTCAGTTAACCCGCTCCATACAAATGCCCCGCCAAATACCCTGTCGTGGTCGCAAGGGAATTTCATCGAGCACGAATACAGCCCAAGACTCGTGATTCAAAAAGTCACAAACCCAGCCCAAGACTCGTAGTTTAAAAACCCTAGGACAGTCGCTGTCCACAGCAAGGATGCCAGACAAGATCGAGATATAAGATAAGGGTTTGAAAAAGGCTGCTGAATAGGTAATGCCCCTTATAGCCGTTTAGTTTATATTCTATAACTTACTAAAGACAGGCCGGCATGCTAGAGCATAATCTCGAATTCAGCACTATAAGGGGCTCGGAGCCAGTGGCTATATATGTAGAGATGCCGTTCGGAGGAATACTTATCGAGGAGGACTTCCTAGATATACCGGTAGGAAACTGGCTATATAAGCCCGACGAGCTCAAAAGTGAATTGCTAGGTATAGGCGGGGTTATAATCTAATACATTAAGAGGAAGACTTAGTCAGAGGGCTAGTGGTATTTGGGCTTTAGATAACGAGTAGAAATAACGATACAAGCTGTTATACTGGAAATAGGAGCTTTTTGCCAGCTCCCGCATAGTCGAAGGCTCTCTCCAGTGAACCTCGATATATTCGGCGACAGGGGTAATACCGCTATAACCATATACATGAATGGAGACAAGGAGGCCCTGGTTTATAAAAAACTTCGAAATCTCTAAAGAAGGTCTCTAAAACGACTATGCTATACCAAAGTTAGTATCAATAATCGTATATCAATCAACGGCGATATATACTGGTAAGCTACGTACGTCTTCTCTACTATTACCTTAGATACAACGATACGGAAACGCTCTCCTATCCAGCTCGTTCGATACTAGCCTAACCGGTGCTCAAACCTAATATTATCGTTAATATCTTGAATCGTCTTGACCAGAAGTTCGCTCAAGTAGGTGCTCACAATAGTATACCTATATATTAATTCTAAAAACTCCTCGATCCGGTGCTTCGTATTAGCATTAGCTGGAGGATAGACAGAAGTGCTACTAAGCTAAATCTGCCGAGGAGCGGAAACAGGTCGGTTCGGCAGAACGTTCTAGCATTATACGGCTGACGGACCTACTACGCCAGGATATAGGCCCAGGGACTCGGTACTACCCAGCTAGGACGTCGGGGTTTGACCGGGGCTTGGCCGACCATAATATAGGACAGCGGCATACGGATCTAAGGAGTTGCCTATTATAGCGGGTAGTCGTATAGTAACAGCAATGCCTAATGTATATCACCTATGTCAGCTCATCGTAGAAAGAAAATCGTATAATAGGCCTACCATCCAATGCGTCCGTCTCTACTCTCGGCCGCTTTCTTCGTTGCCCCGTCGGTTCGGCTACACCGTCTAAGCCTATAGGAGTGGCATCAGCTTGGCCCCCTGTGTCCAGGGACAGCGCTGCCGTCGGCGTGGCGTCAGCGGGCACGGTAGGGCGTATTATAGGCGGCAGGGCAGATATAGGGTGGTTGTGGTCCGGCCGAGCATCGGACGCAGTAGGATTCGCCGGCGGTGGCACAGGGGCGTCTGTCGAGGCTATACCTGGCGGACTGCTTGCTGAAGTTGTCGTACTAGCTGTCGGAGATGCGCTTTATTAGCTGAGGGAGGGAAGAGGAATCAGGGCGCTTACTAGTCGCAGGCTTGCAGGCACATCGAGGGTGCACCACCGTGGCGCAAAAAGAGCATGTCAACACCTATCGGGAAGCAGGCTGGGGTCGGGTTGGCAGAGCCGTGCAAGCGGTATCGGGGGAGGCCCTTGCGGGACTGGGTGACGACAGCGGGACGGCGGCCCCCGGGGGAGCAGGCTGGAATCGGGTCGGAGCCGTGCAAGGCACGCTCGGCTCAATGACTGTAGGTGCAGGGGTGGGCGGTGGCTGGGCGGCCTCGGAGGCAACGTTCAAGCTAAATACGGCAGCGGGCGCCGGTTTCCATTGACGTAGAGCGTTAATGAGTTCCGAGTTATAAGGCCAAGACGACCACTTCGCAATCTTCCCAGCCCCTTCCAAGAGCGCCTGGAAGGTCGACGCTGCAACTTTGATGAGGTCCTCTCCGGTGTAGAGGACTGCTAAGATGCTGAACGGCATATAATCTAAAGTTTGCAACTTGAGCCGCTTTTGTAGCACAATTCCGCTCTCCATCGGCGGTTGACCCGTGAAAATATACTTCACGAAAGCCGTGGCGCTCCGTACATCGTCAGGGGTGAGAGGTTCATGAAGAGGCTTTCCGTAAGCGAGCTTCCAAGCGGCAGCATAGTGTTTGAGTTGAGCAAGTTGGTCATCGAACTTATCGGGCTCCGTGGTTTCCTCGGTGGCGACATCCTTATCCCACAAGCAGTTCAAGAGCTCGTTGGCAGCGTCGTGGAACCAACCCATAGAGGCAGCGTTGGAATTGGGCGAGAGGAGAAGGAGCGAGTGAAACTGAGCGAGAGGAGAAGGAGCGACTGAAACTGGGCGAGAGGAGAAGGAGCGAGTGAAACTGGGCGAGAGGGAGTGGGCGAGAGAGACTGGGCGGGGAAGACTGGGCCAGTAAGACTGGGCGGGAGAGACTAGGCGGGAGAGACTAGGCGGGAGAGAGAGACAGGGTGGGAAAGAACAGCAGGCCGAGTAGGCTGGTTATGATCTACTACGGATCCGTAGAGGGGTGGACATAAACTACGCTAATGCAACCGGCTGAGCCGCTCCTTGTCCAATTATTGACTCCCAGCTTAACTTCCACATCTGACCTTGCTGTACACTGCCGATCCCAAGTACCCACAAGTTCCGGACAAGGCTAGAGATAATGTCACTCTGCTGACCGGTTTCTGTACAGAAGCTTGCATACATTCCTTGACTTTGGCCTCGCTTATCTAGTTTGCTTGTTGCAGCTGATCGTAGGGGACCGGCCGCAAAAGTGGCATTACCAAGACCCTACAGACTACTCCAGAATCCTGCCATAATGGAGGCAGTTGGTTCTAGGACCTATCTACCTTGGTGTTACAGACGACAGATCTATGCCTCTCTACATTAGCGGCAAATAAGTTCCGAATCATATATAGGGTAGGCCATTAAGTATTGTGTACACCTGGTCGATAAGTTCGCAGAGCAATGCCGGGACTGATCCACCGTATGGGGATTGCTTGAATGCACTGTACAGCAGACACCAACGCTCCAATGTCTTTACAAGCCCTGCAACTCGGGAACCCAACTAGTCTGGGAAGATTGCAATCGACTCAAAGAGTTCCTAGCTTACCGACCCTGCCTTAATCTGATCCGTTAGGTCTGGAACTCCAGCTATGTAGCTATCCCGCCCGCTAGCTTATAGGTGCTATTGCTAAAGGAGTCTATCCTTCCCGGCCCTCTATAGGTAAATGTCAGCTCGGTTTTAGTATATAGAGAAGTCTCCAAGCATACTATATATAGGCTTAGGTATTCCTACTCTATTACCTAATACGGCTCTATATCTAGACCTCCTGTATCCGTAGGGACCCTGGGATATCTGCCCATATAGACACCGCTGGGCTCTCGACTTACGGGGAGGCAAGGTCGGTTGAATAGAGGACAAGGCAACCATCTTCGTTATGCTGGCATCAACCAAGGCTCCTCATGCCGAATGCCTATTGTACACCAATAGGGCCAGGCGGCGCCCTGCTGTTCAAAGGGGAACGTTTGCTCCCCTACCTCTCTCCCTCTTTCTAGCCGACTACTGTGCCCAGGCTTGTATAGCCGAGGACTCCTCCGTACGGTGGCGGGGCTATAGGTGCCTGAGCCGCTATGCTAGTATATATCACCGATAAGGCAAACAAGGCAATAAGTCAACGGTGCTAAAAGTAGCTGACGTAGATAATGGTATGCGAATCTAAGGCTCTAAGTAGGATAAGCACCTACCTCTTTTACTCTTATATATATATTAAAGGAGATATAAGCCCGGATGCTAAGATTACTGGTTGGATAGAACTTATATAATAAGCTTTTTCTCGTCCAGATCTTCTTTGGCTTAGCGAACCACGCTATTATAAAACTCCTATACACTCGATAACATAGTATTGCTAGCTTAACTCTATAGAGTACTATTCTTATCACTAAAACGGCTTTATAAACCAAAAACTCTAGGAGAATCTATATTGCCGTAGACTGCAAAGTGTCTTTCATAAGAAATAGATCTTTCTAATGCTATAATATACTTTGACTTTTTCTATTTCTCGTCCTTTGCCGTCTTTCCACTTATATCTCTGCTTCGCCTAGGCGACTAACAATATATCAGAGAGGCGGGCAACATTAGCGCTCAGCCATCTAGGCAGAAAAAGGCGGTCGACCTAAATACTCCGGCAGCAAACCGGGACGACTATACGAGCACAAGTCCTGCATTGAGCCTCAAAAAGGAGGGATCCGTATCAGACGACGGCACTGCGGCTCCCCATCTACCCCCGGCACCTCCACCTGTAGAGGAGGATCCAGAACTTATCAAGCAGCCCGAAACCCGGCCTATCTCCCAAGAGCAACTGGTTGCCGAGGTCAAGGGAATCTACACGGGGCTTGTGATGGTCGAGAACAAGTGTATCGAAGTGGACAATGACCGCAGTTCGCAAAACGACGCCAGTAACAAACTCAACAACGATCAATGGCAGGCTTTGATTGCTCTCCATCGTACTCTGCTCCACGAACATTATAACTTCTTTCTTGCTTCCCAGCACCCCTCGGCAAGTCCGGCACTAAGGAGATTGGCTGCTAAATACGCTATGCCTGCCTGGATGTGGCGGTACGGCATCTACAGCTTCCTTGAGCTCCTATAGCACCGCCTCCCAGCCAGCTTGGAGCACATGCTTACGTTTATCTATATGGCCTACTCGATGATGGCCCTGCTCTATGAGACGGTGCCTGCGTTCGAAGACACATGGATCGAGTGCCTCGGTGACCTTGGCCGTTACCATATGGCTATCGAGGACAATGACATTCGGGATCGAGAAGTGTGGACCTCCGTGAGCCGTCATTGGTATTCACAGGCCTCGGACAAGGCTCCTACAATAGGCAGACTCTACCATCATCTCGCAATCCTCGCTCGTCCTTCCGCACTCCAGCAGCTTTACTACTATACGAAGTCACTTTGCGTTAAGATGCCTTTCCCGTCTATGCGAGAAAATATCATGACCTTGTTTGACCCTATTATATCGCGGGCTCCGAATCCGCAACAGGCTAGACTCCCGCCCACCGAACTGCATTTCGTAAGGGCATATGGGATCTTGTTCAATAGGAAGCAGCACGAAGAGCTAGAGCCTACAATCGACGAATTCCTCAAGCTACTAGATAACTACATCAATCGTTCAACGCGCCGGTGGCGCGAGTCAGGGTATGTGTTCGTCATCTCTCCTATCGACTCCTTGATTAACCATCCAAACCAGCTATCATATGGGTATATCCAACATATATGCGATTTTGGGGTACGGCGATGCGAATAGCCCTATTACCTGCGCCCTCAAGATCACTCGCTCAAGCGGCACCGAATCTCAGGACCAGCCCATGCAAGAAACCAGCTCCGAGATCACCTCTAGCATCAACACTATTGCAGACGACGGGTACTTCTACAACGCCCGCAAACTTTTCACCGGCACCTATGATATCGTTTGTCGCCGCTTCGGTGACCCCAACATCTTGCCTTTTCTGCACGTCACTCTCGTCTTCGTTCACCATCTTACGTTCTACCCGGAGGCTATAGACCACCTGGCCCCGTACTTCTCCTGGAAGCTGACGGCATATATGCTCAACACGCTGATTGGATCGTCTTCGTCCCCATCTGCAGACGAATCGCAGGCTTTGGCTGGCCTCTTGGGCGGTGGCGAACAGTTTCCGGGCTGGAAAGGGGATAAAGACGAGGAGAATAAGGTCAAGAGGGATGAAAAGGAAGGGGGACCTCCGGCAAGGGGCCCGAGGCGGCGGCCGCTGCCTGACGACTTCGCGCTGCGAGGGTTCTCTTGGGTCGAGCACTATTTCCCGGACGGTTGGTTCGTCGCGGACGAGAGAATCGACGATAACGACAAGTATTTCGAAGTACCAAGTATGATGGAGGAGAGGAGAGAGAGGGTGGTTTGGCTGGGCTGTCGTATTGCGGAGAGGGAGGACGGAAAATGGTTGCGGTTTGATAAGGAGACCCGACGCTTCGCGGTTAACGCGGTATTTGACGTGCAGCTGGATCTGGAGATGCCATTGCCATCTATTCCGGGGGAGAGTGTTGACTATGGGGAACTGCCTGATGTAGAAACTGTTGCTTGAGATAGGAGAGTTTGGTGTTGACAGCACAAGCAGTCTCTCGAGTAACGATGGGGAATTCAGGAGTAAGTAAACACGAGTCACATGACGTGTCTCAGCTCCCTGCAAATAAAAGTTTGGCGTGTCTCGGTCCTTTAGGTTCTATCTGTCCCTCGCTTTTCTCAGTCTTGGGTAAGGGTTCTTGCTACAGCAGGTAGGCTGCTTGTGGCCGCTAAGGCATTGGTTGTAGAGGTTGTGGCTGGTAGACGCTTGCTCAGGGGAAGTAAATAGAACCACATGATAGCAGCCCCTCGGCTCGTTGCGTTAGGCAACCGGATAGAAGCAAAGTTCTGCACTACCGCATGGCGATCGAGGACGACAACATTTGGGACCGCAGAGTGTGGGCTGCCGTGAGTCGTGACTGGTATTCACGCGCCTCTGATAAAGCGCCAATGACGGGACGCCTATACCACCACTTGGCAATTCTCGCTCAACACAACGGCCAGCAACAGCTCTACTATTACGCCAAGTCGCTCTGTGTGGAACGGGGCATAGTTAACTGGCATTCGCCTTCTCAAGTCCTTTTGGCTGGCACGTATGCTTTCATGCTTGTGTGAGTGTCAGGAAACAATGGCAAGGCGCCATGTGACCCCGGCGCAACCAAGCTTTGTGTAGTTGACCGAGATTTCAACCCCGGGCGGTCTGTCTTGAGCCTAGCGGTATTTTCCAGACGGGTGCTTCATCACTAGGGAGCGGAGTGAACGACTTTGAGGTGTCCTTATAATGGAGGAGCGATGGGAGCGGATGCACTAGCTTGGGTTCTGCGTTGCAAGGAGGGCCACGCATTCGGCCTAGCGGCCAGTCCTGGAATTCCATCGTTTTGTACAAATGGGCATTGATATGATAAGGGGAACGCATCAGAGGACCAACAAGTTCGACGATGTGATGTAGCCATGTGGTGAGCTTCATCATGAGCACCGGCCTGTCTGTGCTATTGCCGTTGGATGGACTGCCTGGATTCTCTAATCCGGCGTCCATAAGATCTCAGGGGTAGTAAGCAAATCAGGTTACCCGGGAAACCGTGTGAACTATGCACATGCTTCCGCACTACGGTATCCAATCAGGTCTCAATGCGCAACCACGGTCATCACTAGTTCTGAATAATCACAGTAACGTACATGATAAGCGAGTGACCCAGACAAGCGAATGACCCACTTCCTACACGACGCGACATCTTTGCACTCAACAACAAAATTTCCTCTACTATCCAAAATGCCCTCTACTTCAAAAGAAGGCCAGATAATCTTGGCTCTCCAAGCTCTTCAAAACGACAAGAATCTAAGCGAACGAGCCGCAGCTAAGATCTATGGGGTTGACCGTAGGACCCTGGAGCGCCGACGCGCCGGCAAGCCTGCACAATACGATCTTCCAGCCAACTCGCGCAAGCTTATAGATCTAGAAGAGAAGGCGATAGTTCAATATGTCAATGAGCTATCTGCACGTGCATTCCCACCCAGGTTATGTGGTGTAGAAGATATGGCCAACCAACTACTGCGCAAATGCGACGCGCCCCCTGTTGGCAAACGCTGGGCTTATAACTTCGTCAAACGCCGGCCAGAGCTCCGTACGCGATATACATATAGATACGACTACCAGAGGGCTAGATGCGAAGATCCAGACGTTATTCGCGAGTGGTTTAGGCTTATATAGAATACTAAGGCCAAGTATAGTATTGTAGATGATAATATCTATAACTTTGACGAGACCGGGTTTATAATAGGCATTATCTTTATAGGTATGGTTGTTACGACCTTAGATGGCCGGAGCAAGGCTAAGCTGGCCTAGCCTGGCAATCGCAAGTGGGCAATAGTAATCCAGGGAGTCAATGCTCTTGGCTGGGCTATCCCTCCGTTCATTATCTTGGCCGCGCAATACTACCTTGTCAACTGGTATACCGAGTGCAACCTCCCGGCCGACTGGCGCATCGCAACCACCGAGAACGGCTGGACTACCAACGCAGTAGGCCTTGATTGGATCAAGCACTTCGACTACTATATAGCGCCTCGGACAAAGGGCAAATACCGGTTATTGATCCTCGATGGCCACGAAAGCCACCACTCGACCGAGTTCGAGCTCTACTGCCAGCAGAACAACATTATCACGCTCTACATACCTCTATATTCCTCCCACCTCCTCCAGCCACTTGATGTTAGCTGCTTTAGGCCGTTGAAGCAGGCGTATGGTCGCCAGATCGAGGACTTAGTACGCGCGCATATCAACCATATAAGCAAGCTCGAGTTTCTTTATACCTTTCGCACGGCCTTCTTTGCCTCTATCACCAAGAGGAATATACAGGGCGGTTTTACAGGGGCTGGCCTTATGCCATACGATCTAGAGAGGGTGCTTTCGAAGCTAGATATCAAGCTTCGTATACCAACACCCCTAACCTCACGGCCAGGCACTGCATAATCTTAGGTCTTCCAGACACTATACAACCCTCGAGAAGCCAAGTCATAGTCAACGCTTATCAAGACTCGCATTGCCAACCATTAAAATAGCTCCCCGACTTCAATGTTAGCTGCTATAGACTAGCTTACCAAGGGTACGATAGCTATAATGCACTAGGTGGCCCTCCTTTAGGCAGAGGTGTCTTCGCTCCGCAAGGCTAACGAGGCGCTAAGCAAGCGCCGGAGAGCCAAAAAAACACGTGTGCGGCTTGGAGGATCACTTACTGTGCAGGAGGCACAGGAGGTGGTAAGCCAGGGGGCTATAGGTGGGGAGGCAATGCAAGAAATATAGCTGGATGGTAGTGGTGCTGGTGGGGGTCGTACGAAGGTTCGGTGCTATGGTGTATGCGGCAAGCCTGGTCATAATGCCCGCACTTGCCAGGAGGTTGCAGAAGCATCTGATTCACCCGTTTCTGATGTAATTGTAGTTGGTTGATAGTTTTGTTGTTTTGTAATTGAGGATAATGTTTGTAGGGTAGTGGAGAGTGGGTCATTCGCTTGTCTGGGTCACTCGCTTATCATGTACGTTACGGATTACGCCAAGCTCCATCCCCCTTGGCCTTGCGCTCCCTTCCCTCCTTTTCCTCTTCTACGTCCACCATGCTGCCACTTGTCTCGCCATGCTGCATGCGTTTCTCATCTCTATCGCTTGTCTTCCCCTCTCTCGACATTTTCATACTGTACACGCTCTCACCCGGCAGCTCACCTACCAAGCCCTGCGTCCCTATGGCGTAGCCATCTTCAGACCTTCCAGATTCGCCTCTTTGTCGGCTATAGCTCTCGCTGATGACCGCTCGTCTTTGAGACTCGTCAACGTGGGAGCTCTCACGGTCTCGCCATGCTCTCGCCCTGTATGTACCAGCACCTTATGTCGCAGGGTTTCACGTAATGTATAGCCAATGCCATGTCCGCCTGGCGGCTTCCAGGCGTGATTGCGAGATCACATCCCCGCTCTGACCATCGGTAGCAATGCCGCACAAATTAACCGCGTCGAGACACGGAGGCGCGGAGAAGGCTACCCCTCCTCCCCTCTGTTTGTCGTATTCGGAATATTGCCGTCTGCAGAATACCCACGTCGTTGGCTGCAATCGGGCCGGATTTGAGCGCAGCTGCGGCAAAAAACGCAGGCCACTGGTCGCGAGAAAGGCAGCTTGGTGTCTCGGATTAGATCGGATCACACGCTACGACTTCGGCGGCCGCAGAGAGGCTTAGGTGGGCGGGGGCTGGCGTCGACGACCATGAGCGCTCGGCTTAGCTAGGTAATCCGATTGGCAAGGGTCCTCAGTGCAGGTCGCAGCAGAACTGGGCCGGGGAGGACTCGACATGATGTGACCTCTCCGGTGCTGCGGGCGGCTCGCGGGGGCTGAGCCGACACGACGATGCGGCCTCGGTCAAGGGTGATCTACCCAGGAGAGCCCTTTGAGGGGAAGGCGCGGCGCGGGCCCAACTGCAGAGGGGACAAGGCGGACTCGACATAACATGGCCTCCCTGGCTATGCGGGCGGCTCGCGAGTCACGCCGCAGGATGAAGGGGCTGACAACGGGCCTGGGAACCTGCGTTACGACAGGTGATTCGTTGTCATCGCTCTAGCTGGAGCGAGACGGAAAAGGGGCGGGACTACCGCGTGTATCAAGCAGCTCGGTGCCTCCTATTTCATACGTCTGGTGGCGCCAGGAATGTGACAACAGGGATGAGGAGCCTGGTCGCGCAGAAAGGAGGTCACGGATCGTCGCATGAGGAGGGGACGAGGCGCGTACTGCCTGATGCGAGCCGCCCTGCTGAGCTATTTCCAGGGAGTTGCGGTGGATCACGGTGCCAGGTCAGGGTTGTGATTCGTGGCTCCGACAACATCCTGCGGAAGCTGGCTCTTCCGGCGTGAAGCAACGCCGTGTGATAACCGATCGTTGTTGTCGTCACATTGACAGCGAGGCAGACGCGGCCCTCGGGAAGGCCGACGGCGCGAGGTTAGCGTTTTCGTGTGCGGCAGCTCGGTGAAGGGTCCTCTGCCTCGCGATTGGTGATTCCGACTGCGTGGACGACAAGGAAGGAGCCCGGTTCATGCAGCTATCATATCGGCCGAGCCGGCCGGGTGCCTGAGGTTGGGAGGGCCCAGCACGTTGCATAGGGAGTAGCAGGCTAGTTCTTGGTTCAGCTCGTCTCCTGCTTAGTTGCTGAGTCCGAGTCTCCGCGCAGGCGTATATATTTCGCTTGTTCTCCATGTTCTCAGCAGCGCAGAGATGGTCTCAGTTTGCCCTATACTTTTTCCTAACATCGTTTCCCGTCACAGTCTCGTGAACTATTCTGCAATTCAGCAGCACAGACGCACTTAGCAACAACATGGCAGCAGCTTTTCAAAAGGATCTCATCCCCTCTGCGGCGGCGAGTCCTGAGCATCCACGTGATAATCTTCCGATTCTAAAACTCCCCTCCTCATCCGTCTCCACCAGAACGCCTTTGGGGCTGGCATCTCTGTCGTCATTGTACAATGCAGGGGTTGTCAAGTCTGAGGAGTCTGACGAGCTCAGCTTCGGCAGCCTCTGGGAGGAGTGCTGGCACAAGATCAAATTAAAGAGTGGTACTGGCATAGGTATGGCTCGGAATTCTCGTCGTGACAGGACGAGCGGTTGCTAACACATTGAGCAGGAAACAATGTTGCCACTGCTCATGCTACCAGTGGCGGCAGCCGCCTGCCGCAGCCTTTGCGTGCCGGTCGGCTGCACTGCGGCAATGTCGGTGGTACCAAGGTGCCACCGGAGAACGTGATCGTGATTAGCGACGATGAGGCGAGCGACGATGAGGCGAGCGACGATGAGGCGAGCGACGATGAGTCGAGCAACGATGAGTCGAGCGACAGACAGCAGAGCGACAAACAGCAGAAAAGTCGCCCAGGATGCCCGCTAGTGCGTTCGTTTATTTCACGTATGGCTCCCCCTACGAATCTGTCCCCGTTGGCCAACGGGGCCTCGGCGGCGTGCCAGCCAGGACAAGCATCTATTCCTGACTACACCATACGCAACAGCGACGCTCCAGCGACAGATGTTGCCTCTAGCCGGGAGGAGGGCGCACGACAGAGATCGGATGGACGAAACCGCTCTGTATCCCATGATCACTACGGCGGCGGCGACCGGACGGGCGGCTCAGCCCGCCGCCATTCGCCGGTTCCAGACGAGACCGGAGAGCCGACTGAGAATGATCCTGTCAGGTTGCCACAAGTTCAGGAGCACCGGGCAAGCCTATCGGTATTGCCGGACCGTCAGAGCATCAGCAAACCTAAGCCAGAAGATGCCAAGCTAACCTCTCAACACTGGAGTTCACCCAGTGCCGCCTCCAAACGTAGGGGGGAAACACAACACTGGTCCGGTAGTAGCACCCTCTCCCAGCCCTATGATCATCATGGCGACCGCAATCAAACGATCGACCCAAAGCAGGGTGATACTTGGCCGCCGGGCGACAGAGGGACGCGGGGTATGGGAAGTTCTATCGCGGCCTCGCCAGTACAAGAGGGTGGGGCGAGCGTTCCGCAATTGCCGGCAGCCATGAGCAACAACGACCGTGTGCTGGCTAATGTCGGGCCATCCGCTAGCCAGGGCTCCATCGGGCTTCAGCAAAGCTTGGGCCGTTATCCACGAAGCGGTACCGACGTGGGGGAGAACCAGAGACCTGCTAAGGACAGCATCGGAGAGCACGGTCAGGGAGAGGTCACCTAGCCACTATGCAAGCGCCATAAAAGCACCCCGACCCCCGTAGTTGGCGAAACAACACCTAACCGGCAGGCAGATCCGTATCGTGCCAGCTCCTGGTTACAACGGACCCGAAGACCGACAGCCCGCTATGCAACGCCTTACCAAAGACAGCGCGGAAATCCCAAGCCGCGCTCCTCAGGAGTGGCCTCCATGGCCGAGCAGGCTCAAGAAAAGTCTCCTTGTATCAAGCGAATTCACCGCGTATAGGTGAGGTACTAGGTCAAGTAGGAAGGGTACTGGCCCGAGTACAATAGTTGGGAACCTGATACGTATTTCCACCGATGCCCCGAGCTGCTTGACCAATTCCATCAGACAGGGCCGGTAACTACCGAGCCGGCCAGCCCAAGTTAGCTTGGAATTCCCAAGCCGCGCTCCGCTGGACGGGCTTCCACGACCAAGGAGGCTCGGAGAAAGTATTTTAATGTCGAAGGTATTGTTAACTGCAAGGTATAGTACTTGGTCGAGTGCGCAGGATATAAGCGCAGCAGATAGGTATCTGCTAAGCAGCTCGGGAAATTTCCCGAGCTGCTATGGGAGTTTTATAAGAGGACGGGATCGGTAAATGGATTGATTATGCAGAAGATAGCTGACTAGATGGAGGCTTGCCGTTCAGCAGCATAGGACGATAGGGTGTTAATATATATTAGAGTAATTTGCATGAAATAATGTTATTGCAGATTGGGCGAGCCTATGACAGTGGAGTGAACCCGAGAAGAATGGCCGGTTGAAGACCTGGTCATATGACGTAGTAGATCCGTCTGCCCCTTACCTAGCATCTCTTATTGTTCACTCCTAATGGATGATTATACCACCTAGGACTAAGTTGTTTATAGACTAGTAAAATGCTAATTACTCAGCATTGTTAGTAGGTTTGATATTATAAAGGACTATAATCGTATATAGAGAGTAGAAAAGCGAGACAAGGCTTAGGAAAGCAGTCAATTATTGAAGTCCGAGTTAAATAAGACGTAAATATAAGCTATAGTAAGATAGCTGCTATTAAACTAATTATACAGGTAATATATATTCTCCTACTCCGCTATGCCTAGCTATTTACAAGGCGCGCCGGACCCTCTACTGCTATGTACAAAGGAAAAACCGTACCGTTTAGGCCGGGTGAAAACCTTCATTAAAAATAATAGGAAAGACATGGTTCCAGTGATACACGCTGCTGCAAGTAAAGAAAAAGGCCTTGGGAAGGCCTTGGGCCAACGGCTAGTAGGGTGCTAGCCCAGCTAAGCCGTGGCCACGGGTGTGGTTAGCCGAGCTCCCTGGCTTCCAGTTCCTGATCTAGGTTCTGGGCAAGCCTGTATTCCCCTAGCCGGCCCGAGTTCATCAGCCAACCCAGTACCTTCTTCAGAAGTCTTCGGTTCCGGTAGCCTAGGCTCTGTAAAACAAAGCTAAGGTCCCGGTGGGTGCGTATTAGTTGCCTAGGCCAGATTCTTGATATAGGTGGTATAGAGCACCAAACCACTAGGTGCTCCACTGTCTCCCGGCCTTCTCCGCATTCGCAATAGGGGGTAGGCTGGTTACGGGCCTTTTGTTTAAAAAGAAAGTCCCGTAGGCCTATAGCTCCTGTACGAGCCTGTACTAGTAGGGAGCTCTTGGCCTTTGTAAGGCCTTGGTGTTTCCGTAGGCCTTGGTTTGTGAAGAGGACTGTTGGTAGGCCTTCGTCGGCTAGCCTGGTTGGCTGTCCCTGGACCTGGGTTTTCCACCTAGCCTCCCAAGCTCTTAATAATGCCCAGTCATCCTGGGTCTTGGCCAATGGTGGGCCCAAGGCTTTAGCCTGGGCGTTCCATTCGGCCACTATAGCCGAGGCCTTTTCGACGTCTGTTGGCTTTCCTGGGCTCCGGGGCCGGCCCCGTAGCCTCCGGAACCTTCGTTGGAGCCTGTTGCAAGCCCCTTGGATGATTTCCTTTGGTGGGCGTCTCGGAGCCTCTGGGCCTAGCCCGGCCTGTAGGATAGGCTCGTTGAGCCGGCCTTCGAAGTCGGCCAGCCTCTTGTTAAGGTAGAGGTCTAGGGGAGGGATCCAAGTTTCCGTCTCGAGGTTCCGTGTAGGGGTGGCCTTGTAGGCTCCGGTTACGATGCGTAGGCTTCGGTTCTGGGCCTTTGCTAGGTCTCTGGCTAGGCCTTGTGGTGAGCCGTTGAGTGTTGTAGGCTTGTGGAAGCTGGATGCCCCATAGGCTATTGCACTGCGAATGCACTTAGTGTAGACCTCTCTAGCCTTGATTAGCCCCGGGCCCCAAGTCTTGGCTGCTATCCTTGATAGAGCAAAGTCTTAGGTTCTTAGCTTGGTAGCTATGCTGGCTCTGTGGGCCTTCCAAGAAAGCCTCTAGTCGAGCCAGACCCCTAGGAACCGAGCTGAAGCCGTTGGTTTAACCATAATATGGTCATAAGGGTGGCCCGGTTTGGCTAGTCGTAGTGGTTCAGACCACTGTTTACGGCCTTTGTTGAAGTGGATCAGCTCTGACTTGGCCCCATTGAATTCCATTCCGTAGGATCTAGCCCACTGTAGGCATGTAGCCCAGGCTTGTTCCAGTTGCCGGCAGTTGATATAGGGGTCCCTTCCAAAGGCTAGGATATTGGTGTCGTCTGCGAATCCCACTAAGCTGACTAGAGGGTGCTTTTCCTTTAGTACTTTATATAGCGAGGCTATATATAGTATAAAGAGGATTGGTAATAGTGGTGATCCTTATGGCACTCCAGCTCGGATGTCGATTTCCGGGGTAAGTTGGCCGTCGAATAGGAGTGTGGCCTTCCGGCCCGTTAGCCACGACCGTAGCCAACCTACAAGCCACTGCGGGAGCCCGAGGTCCCAGACTATAGCCAGTAACCAGGTATGATTTACCCGGTCGAAGGCCCCTATGAGATCTAACTGCAATAGGGAAGCCGTAGCGCGTTGTCTCCAGGCCTCTTGGATCTGGGCTACCACAAGCCGAATGGCTAGGTCTGTTGACCTATATTCCCGGTTACCCATCTGCTCGTCGGGCAATAGGCCATAGGCTTCAGCTGCCTCTGTAATTCTTTTGGTAACCACTATTTCCACTACCTTGCCAATGGTAGGAAGGAGCGAAATAGGCCTATAGCCTCTAGGGGTAAGGTAGTCAGCTGGGGTTTTACCAGGCTTTGGGAGCACTATAGCTATAGCCTCCTTTAGCCTGGCCGGCACCCATTGTAGTTCGAGGCATCTCTGGGTGAGTAGTGCGAGGATCCTGTACAACGGCCTACCACAGGCCTTCAATAGGCCTATAGGCCTTGAAGTCCTTAGATTATCACTCTACAAATGTGCTACCTAAGCGTAATCGCGAAGATCCGCCTTATAGAGGTAATCTAATCAGAGAGGCAAGGTTAAACCTCTCTACCGGACCAAGCATAACAATACTAGGCCACGGGACTCTAAGGTTTGCACCTTAAGCCCTCCATAAGAGGTATAATACTTCCTCCCTCTTGGATAACCAACACGCGCGTCCGTCTTCTCCGGCCGGCTATACTACTCCTTTAGAGCCATAAGTTCCTTATAGCGGCGACACTATACATTTGATCCCCAGCTATAGTACTCTCTAGTACGTCCTATCGGCGGTTTCCTCCTCTATCGTACGCCTTTGGCTAAAGGAGCACGCTCCCTGCCGCATATAATATTCCTATAGGTCCCTTGCCGAGGGAATAGCTATGTCTCTCCTATAGCCTAGGTACGAGCTAGGGCTATACCTCCATTATCCTCCTCTCGGTCTAGTATAGCCGCTACAGCCCACCTTCCGCTAGGCGCAACCCTAACTTCCAGCTTCCCGTTGCCTTGCTAGGTCTCCCTTATAAGGCCGACCGTATCTTGTAGTAGGCTGTCGTACGAGCTGCTACGCCGGCATAGCTCGCTCGGTTGCTCTGCTACTAACCTGCCCTAATCCACCTGCCTCGCCTCCTATCCTCAGATCCAACTATAGTATTGTAAAGGGCGAAGTACCTCGCAAGAGGGCCCAGCCGCCTATATTGCCTCCCTTAACGAGCCCGTATTCCCTCTCTCTCCTGCTCTTATAGTTGGTTGTACAATCGGTCGGCGATACCGGCTTTCGCTCTATATCCTTGTCGCCGTACGACTAGCCCTCTAGCGTTTGTTGCGGGCGCCCTTAGAACCGGGCAGGGCCGGGGGTGCCCTATCTCTTCTTTAAAACGTCGAAAGAGTCGGGTGGTTTTCGTACCTAGTATCCCCCTAGTCTTGCAAACTTATTGCAGGTAGATTGTCGTAGTTGTCGTCAATGGTAGTCGTCGTACGGGGTAGTGCGGGATTTTCGGTGCACTCGAAAATCCTCACTTTCTTGTCGCGAAAACCAATAATCCGACAGCCATACGGCCGCGTGGAAGCTGCGCGTCGCTGCAACCCCTTGGAATCGAAAGAACAGATCACAAAGGACCTAATTCCCGATTTTTGCGATGCCCGGCCGCCCGCGTGGGCGGCCCCCGATGTTTGTTCACCGGGAAGGGGAGTATCACTATATATCGCTATCCCAAGCGGCTTTATCTAGCGGCCTGGCCGGGCCTAGAATATAGCTACCGTCTACCGACCCTGCATCCGTATTATAAGCAGCCCAAATCTCGAAGCCGCTACTCCGACCGGCATGTCGATGCCGTTCCCTACCGGTATATAGGGGACCTAGAGCAGAGGATCTATAAGCAGAATACTAGAATTGCCAGGCGGCCGCCCTATATATAGAGCCACTATTTCAAGATTGAGCAACCCGTACGAAAGCGCGTACGCTTTTTGCTACCTATATCGCGACGCGACGAAGACGAGCTAGGTAGTCTTACGCAGGAGGTGGCAAAGCTTAGCATCCGCGATCTAGGGCCGAGCCAGCGCCGATACAGCCGGTATAGGCAGAAATTGTGATATTGGAGGGACAGCTCTAACGCGTTTTAGGGGAGGGGCAAAGGGTGGGGCCAATAGGAACAAGGGTGACGTTAGAACGTCACTA